ACAAATAATAATAAATGAGTGAGCAAGGCATGCAAGTTTTCCCCTGTGGACTGATGTTTACCACAGCTCAGGTTTCTGCCTGTTAAGAGAAGCTGGTTGTTGAAGTGAAGTTAGATAAGTAATGCCAGTCAGTTCACAGCAAGAGGGAATCTCTTCTCCCGGTGAGGATATTACCTGACAACGAGGAATGCTTAACCTGCATCTTTGTGAAAAATATATGCTTTGCAACCGTTGCTACTCTGGTCAGTTTTAACTGATCTCCATTAAAATCTCCAGGAAAACAACACAACATCAGCACAAAATTTAAATAAAATAAAACAAAACAAAGCCACTTTTAGCAGGAAAGAGAATGCCTAAGAAGTTGATGCAAGAAAGAGTTATATGCTTAAGGATAAGAGCAGATTACTTAAATTCACTACATTCGTGTGCAAACTTCAGTATAAAATCTTTAAAGGCAGAAAGCCTAAATCTAAGAATTGTAGAGAAAGGGATATAATTTGTAAGCCAGGAAGCTAAGATGATCAGGAAAGGATGTTATATTTTCTTTTTTAACAACATTTCCAGTATTCTTATTTGCTGTTCTATTTGATTTTAAAGTATACAGATGATAGTAATTTTATATGCTAGTGTCCAAATTAAAGATAGGTTTCTCTTCGGTTTATGTAATACATTAAAGCACAATTGACTTGAATTCAATGACACTGTCACACTTGAAATTGATTATAATATCTCACATGTGGGTTTGGAGACTGTTACCCACCAAACGCGAATACCAAAAAAATAACGTGGTTCTATGTTTTTGTGGTTTTACCCAAAACAGTCAAGCTGGTTTTCTAGATTAAAGATATTTTTTCTTAAATTTCATTTAAAAAGCAAACCCAACTTTCAGTATATGACATGGAAACGTCCCAGCCTGTATAACTCCTACTGCCTACTTTCAAAAAATCCCCTTGTTCTGAAGGCAGTTCAGCAGCTATTAGAAGTAGTCACTGATGTAAATTCCATCTTGTTTATGAAAACATTTTGAACAAAGCACCGATTGTCCAGAGTTTATAAAAAAAGTTAAAACCTATAAAATGTTGGCATCACTACTATTTGGGGCACGAGAATGACATGCATATAAATCATAGTTTATTGTCACAGTCTTTTATACAGAGAAAGAAGGCTTTGCTGAAAATGGAATTCGTCGATGTATTGAAATCTCCCTCTTTTATAGATTTGTTTTTAAAGTATTCTGAATCGGGAAAAAATCTGAAGCAAATCCTAGTCTAGAGTAGCAATCAGGGGCACAACAAGTCTTTTATGACAAGGGTTAGCTATGGTAGAGGGGCAGAGCAGGCAGAGTTTGGGGAAATCGGGGTGGATGGAAAGGCCTCGGTGTGTGAAGCTTTGGGAGGGAAGGTCGTTTGTGTACGTGGTGTCCTTCCACACAATCCCACCCACATCTCTGTTAGCCCTGGGGACAGTGATCTCTTACTCCTTTTTGTAGGAAAGAGCCCTACTATCACCATTTCAGAAAGGTAGCAGTTTACTAAAGGCTTTCACAGGAGCACTCTGTCCCTTCCCACCCATCATGAGGTGGGTGAAAGAGGCCTTTTATGCTGACAGATTTTCCCCTTAACAGCAAGGGGATTTTTCTGGCAACATTTTGGGCAAACCTTGATCCGCAACCCCTCTTGCAAGGACAAGGAGAGGAATCGCCTGCCAATGCTTGGCCAAGCATGTGAAGCCACCCTTGTGCCTCATACACCACTGCTTTGCTTGATCAACGGCTGGTGAAAAACAAGAAACTTCTCTCCTGGTCCAGGCCCAGATGAGATGTTATCCAGGCCAGGTCTATCTCTCTGCTTCCACACTGAACAAGAATTGGTAGTGTCGTTTTTTTGCTTTAAAATGGCATCCTGATGGGAAATAAGCATTCAGGTCTCACTGCGGGAAGTGATCTAATTCCCTTGGATTTTATGATTAGCCCCGTCTTAGCAACAGGAAGGCTTTGAAGGTGTTGGTCACCTAATCATTCTAAGAATCCTTTGTTTAAAACATCTGGTTTTAAAAGCTTCACCTCTTAGAACCTGTAGGGTAGCTGCAGTACCCTAGGCTCAAGGGATGTGCCCCACTGGATGGTGAAAAATCAAGGGCACAAACTACACAGGACTGTTTTCAAGTCCTGAGAATGGAGCAGCCCATACTTGGATTGCTCCAGTTCTAGACAACTAAAATGTCGCCAAAGTTACACCAGGCTAAAACAAGAGAAACGGCAGTGAACCAGCCCAAAAATTCTCCCAGATAATTCTTTCCTTTTTCTTTTCCAGTAGCAAAATTATTGGCAGCCACCAGGGATTGGTGCTGTAATTAGCCTTGAAGTTCTGCACTGAAGAGCAAACGCTCTAGCAATCCAAGCAATATTCTGTTAAGTCATTCTACTGGACTGCAGGGCTTGTGGGTGGGATTCTCCCAAGTGAAAAATACGGCAATGCCCCAAGACTAAGTCCTTACTATTTCTTGGAATTTTAGTAACAGCCATAAAATTCACTGTTGGCACCTGAATCTTTAGAAGCACTAAGCAAATTAAACAATCAAACCTCAGTCCTGCAGCTCTTCTCCTCATATGATGCCTATTAAAATACATGTGGTGAAGAGCTTCATAAATTGATTCCAGAATTTTCAGGCAGAAATGCCTAAAATCAGGTTCATAAATATACATCTAAATTTTTTAACAGAGTTTTGCTCATTTTCCAATTTTCTTGAGCTTGTGAAGATTGCAAAGGCTGGAGCTTTTGAAAAAAAAAAAAAAATTAAGCCACTTTATGCAGGTCTTTAATCTGAATTGGGATTTGCACTAAGACTGTTTTCTGGAGTTGTCCATCGTAATCATCAGGACTAGTCCCGTGAAGGCTAAAGGAGGCATGGTCTGGTAGATGTGATGTCTTCTGAGTTGTTGTTCCTAATTCTGTGGAGCTAGAATACCACAGGAGAGCTGATTAAGGTGATGTACATAAGGATAATGAGAATGCCTTCTATTCTGTCAAGTTCAGAAATTTGGCCCACAGGCTGACATGGAATATTCCCACTGGAAGCCCACTATTTCCATTCATCTTAACAAAGTGATCCATCACTGGTCACAAGGCATAACTCTTTCAAGACCTTGCCTGTACTAAATAATTATTTCATCTTCAAAAGAAGTCACGGGAAAAATAAATGTAGGAGATGAGAAGACTATGAAGAAAAGCTAGCAAAATGACAGCCACTTTAACAAGAGCTTGGCAAGTCGTGTGAGTTAGAGTGGTTGCATACAGGCGTTAAGTCGTGCCAGCTTGTCTGCACACACAGCATGTAGCATCCCCATCCAGAAATGTTGTCTTCCAGCCCAAGGATTCTTCATTTAAAGTAGACAATGAATGAGTGGCACAGTTCTGCTTGCGGTTGTCTTCTCTAGCGTTCGAGCATGTCCTTAAGCCAGAGCGTGTGTTTAGGAGAGCCAAAACTATGGATACTAATGGCAGTTGCAGAACTGGGCGTGAGAGCACCAGTCAGGCTGATGGCTTGGAAAAAAACGGACAGTGGAGACAGGAAAGAGACATAGATATCAGGACAAGAGCTCATGCTTGTACTAGAATAGCCTGTGCATCAGGGAATGTGTAATTCAGCCACACTGTCCTCTACTGGCTAAGCCTGGATGTCTGAAAATGATGATGTATTTATTCATGCTGTTTTCATTCTTCAGTGCTCAGTTTAAGGCACTTCAACAGACTCATACTTTCAAACAGCCCATTTCCTTCACCCCACTTCCCTCCACCCTGAATATTTTTAAAAATCAAGAAAGCAGAGTCTTTATGACCATTATGTTTACTCTCCAGCGTTTGTTTTAAGATCTCTGTCAAAGGCAAGGAAGAGCTTTGAAATGGGGAATTTCAATCAACTTAATTTAATGCCAGTTAATGAACTTTAAATTACTGATTCTGATATTTTAAAAAAATAAAACCCCTTAGGGAAAAACACCTCAGCAGCACTCCATACACCACTCTTTCTCATCTCCAGCCCCCTTGCTGTGGGCTACACTGAGTCCTTTTGGGGAGGTGAGGGCTGGTGCAGGAGACAGAGGTCAGGAAGTGGTGTCTGCTTTTCGTTTTCCACTCCTTGCTTTGTACTCAGTTGCCCCAGAGAGGGTTTCCTCACCAGGTACTGGCCCATTAGAATCAAGCCTCCTCCTCTCTGCCCTTGTTGAAGTGGCTTTTGTTCCTCTGGCCCCTTCTCAAGATACTATTTTGCTCCAGCATCTCTTTGCCATCTCTCCTCCAGCTCTGGTGTGGTCTTCCCTGACTTTCTCCTCCTCCTCTAGTGGTGCTGTCTCTTTTTCTCAGTGCTTACCACCCTTTCTTAAACACCTTTTCATGAAGGTGCCAGAAACTCCTACAATCAGTTCAGCATTGCAGGGGGAGCTGGCTGCAAGTGGCTGCATCCAGCACAGGATGGTCCATAACCCACAGAGAACACACCACTGCCAAACCCCTGCCGATATTGCCCAATACACACAGAATCACAGAATCTTCTAGGTTGGAAGGGACCTTAAAGATCATCTTGTCCAACCGTCAACCTAACTGACAAAAATAGACACCCACACAACAAACAAGGAGCATCATCACTAAACCATACCTCCCAGCACTTCATCAACCCGTCTTTTGAACACCTCCAGGGATGGTGCACACCTCAAGCCCTCTTTGGTAATTAAAAAATAAATAAATATATAAGCTGACCAACTTCTAGCTCTACATTTTCTCCAGTCTGGGGATGTGTTTTTTTTTTCTTCACAAAAGTCTTTACATTTCTGCATGTGAATATTTCTGGTATCTTTGGAGAGATCAGCCTGATGAGATGTGAGATAAGGGATCTGAATGAAAGCAGGCTTTTCTACAGCTGGCCCTTGGCGTCCCCCGGGCTCCAGCTTGCTGTGTGCTCTGCGTGGCCCCCACGGAGACCAACAACCTGTGTGCTGCTTTCAGGTTCTGGACGACAGCTGAGACCGGCTGAGCCTCCAGGAGATGCTGACGCGGATGCGGAGGAGGAGGATTCTGTGAGTGTTTTTTTTCGACTTGGGGTTTTTTGGGGGGAATGTGCATTTGGCAGTTATCTTGTTAAAACAGGATCTTAAGTATTTTCTTGATAGCCAGGTATTGCCAGAGATTATTTTTTTTCCCCCATACAAAATGTTGTATTTCCACTTGGGATTCTCCTGCCAGAATGATGCTTCAATATAAAGTGGTCTGCTCTTTGCCATGAGTCACCAGTATAAGTTCAATACCCAGACTTAGCAAACTATTACATGGCTGCTGACTGCAGTAACTTTTCTTTAAATCTTTACTTGGTTTTGGTTCCCTATTGCTTGGCTCCAGAAGGAAGCATGCCAAATATCTGTTGGCAGAAATTCCTGCTGGGACTCTTCCATGGCTTGCTCGCTTATAGAGGGCAATAAAGTTTGAAGCTGCATGATAAAAAGTTAGGTGGGGAGGGAATTTTTATTGTCTTCTTTTCAATTATTACTGATTGATCTGTCAGTATTTTCAGTCTGTTCACCCCACAGATGCATATAATTCATAAAAAGAATTAAATCAGCATACAGCGGTTTTTGTCTCTCATCAGTCTGTCCCTTGTGTTCTTCAGTAACATCCTTAAATGAGAAATTTATTTGTTCTTGATCTAAGGAAAGAGTTATTGTTTATTCTACATCCACCATTACTAATGAAAGATTTGTACAAAGAAGGAGACTATGCCTAAAGAGAAAACCTCTTATAAAAAAATGTCTCACTGTTTAATGGTAGATGTTCCTTTCCACCACTCATTTCTTTTCCACAGGTTAATGACGTGGCAGTAGAAGACATCCGTCCAAGACCACAAGGATCCTCTCCAGTTTATGAATATATAGAAGGAGAATATTTAAAGGCAAGACACTGAGTTTTCATGCAGGCATGGCTTTACCAAGTTGTTTCAAGAGGCTTTATCTCCTACAACGAGCCAAGACTCATGTCATGTAAAAAGATGTTGTTGCAGCCATATTGTCTTCCTGTCCCCACCAAAATAAGGGCCATGTTCATACCAGAATATGGTACTGGACTTGGTGTTGGCTGCATTCTTGTTTCTTGGCAAAAAAATGCATTTGACTTCATTCCTTAAGTACCTGGGCCAGAGAGTGTCAAGAAATCACAATGCTTTTCCTATTATTTGAATATTTAACTGGCTTGAATCTAGCTAATAGGTATTTCAAAATCACCTGTACCTCTTGGTTATTCCAAGTTAAAGATTTAATTAGTACAGTTATGTTGAGATAAGTAGGCAACAGTTTGACATTCATGCTGAAGTCAAATAAATGAAAAAGAAGTGTGTTCACATAGATGAAAACATAAGAAATGTGCTACATGAGTAACACACAGAAAAGCTCCCAATGTCTTAATACAATTGGTTTCTGACATTCATTTCATGCAAATTTTCATTCAAAAAATTGGCCTTGGCATTTAATTTGCTACTTGGAATAATATAGTTAAATCATCCACATTTTACATTACACTTGTAGATCCCAATTTTGCTCTGTTGCCATTAAAGTCAGCCTCAGTTCTTAGTCTAAACCAGGGATTTTAACTGATGTAGGACTTTTGTTGTACTTTACAACAGCATGACTTCTGAACACTAAATAATTGCAAATTATTTTTCAGCTTGAAGACGAAAATAAAAAAAATTCTACAGACAAATCAAAACAGAGTCATCCACAGGTTGGTCTAAAGGCACTCCATAGTTTTAGGCATATGGCTTGCAAAATAATAAAGTCAATTGCAATGCACAGACATGGATGGGTGGACAGAGGGAAGGACAAATGGGCAAGAAATCAATTTAGACTTGTTTTGACCAGGAACTTTACAAATTGCCTAGTTGTGGCACAGGCATGAACACTTATGTTTCCCATTTGGAGTCCTTCTATAATTCTTTTTAGTGTTCTTTAGCCTTCTCTGGTTTAAGTACAGTACAGCTCTTAGTCTGACTTTTCTGGCGCATTTACTCTAATTCAGGTGCTTAACATCTTCACAGAAAACACAATATTTCAGATCTAAAAGATTCCATATGTTTCACATTTTAAAGTTACAACATATTTTCCCTATGACCCTGATCCAGCGTAGCCCTAACATATGTGCTTAATTCTAATTTAGAACAGAATCAAACCCATACTAAATAAGTTCATTCTCAATTTTAGATAATCTTTCTTGAGCTACTGAAAATATATCTGAGGAGACTCAATTTTTATTGCAGAATAATGTAGAAAACCTTGATACAAATGAATAAGAATTACAAATTCACACCTTTTTCTATATCTAGGAGACAATGGAAGTGACCCTGAAAACAGAAGTGGAAGCTGGTGCTAGTGGTTTTAGTGTGATGGGCGGAGGAAATGACGGAATATTTATTAAAAAAGTACTTAAGGAATCTCCTGCTTCAAAAATATTTAGTCTGAGAGAAGGTACAGTCTGATTTTCTGTTGCGTTTTGTTGGTTTGTTTTTTAAAAAAATATAGTAAAATATTCAGGTATGTAGCTCATCTGTCATCTCTTTAGGTAATAAAAATAGTAGATCCCAAACCAAGTAATATTATGTGTGAGCTTGACCTTTCCATATTAATAAATTAAAAGATCAGTTTCTTAAACAATAATTAAATGTGATTATTTTTTTTTTATACAAAAAACCAATTATGTAATTTTCACTGACACAGTGAAAAAGATACATAGAAAGTACTATACACACAAATAACATGAAAAAAATACCCAACTCATAACGTTAATAAAGAACCTGCATTTGATTCTTTCACAAAATAGTATGCCATAAAACTACAATAACTATTGATTTCAACAGGAACAATGGGCCAGAGTCTAAATACTAAAAAATATTAAAAAAAGCTTTGTTACTGTCAGGGTGGTGAGCCACTGGAACAGGTTTTCCAGAGAGGTTGTGAAGTCACCATTCTTGGAAATATTCAAAACCTGACTGCACATAGACCTTAACAACTGGCTGCAGCTGACCCTTCCCTGAGAAAGGCAGTTGGACTAGATGGTGTCCTGAAGTCCTTTCCAGCTTTAACTATTCTGTGATTCTATTATGTGAACATTGGTTGATATTTTAAATAAATAAAGATTTTTTAATGTAATGAGCATTAATTCAACAGAATTTGAAAAACCGCAAGAAAACACAAACTAAAATGATGTCTGATTCCACTTGCAGGTGATCAGCTCCTAAGTGCTACAGTATTTTTCGATAATATCAAATATGAAGATGCCCTCAAGATTCTCCAATATTCCGAGCCATACAGAGTCCAATTCAGCCTCAAAAGAAAAATTACTGGGAAAGAAGAGCTAGCACACATTCACTCTACAGCCCAGTACAAAAAGGATAAATTAAGCCAGGTATTTTTTTGATTAGTTTACAAAGTTTGGATAACACTGTAGTAATGTGCTATATGGAAATAGAGCAGAAAATACACGTGTCTTTGTGTTTAAACAAGCATGAATATTCATGAGAGAAAAAAAATTCTAAATAATATTTGCAGTTTTATAAATATCCTCGGCAAGACTATAGATTTTTGGATAAAGCCAAAATCTTGTGTTAGGGTAGAAAAATGTTCTTCCCTAGTGAGCCAGCATTTTTTTTGTTGGTAAATGTCCACTGATAGAACAGACCCAGACAAGCTCTGTAATACTTATGTTCAATATTTTACAAAATGTAAAATATCAGTAGATATTTTTCTCAAAAGCTTATCAATGAAATTTTCTATTAAAAATATGTGCTTAATCACTGATATCTCCATAGACATGATCTGCTATAGGTCACCAACACATTCAAAATTATTTTCCTCATCGTAAGCATATATATAAATATTACATATATTTGTATAGACATAGAAAGATACATATAGAAACCTCTATTTAGGGCAATGTTTTGCAGAATACATAAACCTTCAGATATCCACATATTACAGACATATAATCCATTTGTTTTATGTAATTTCTGCCTGAATAATATATGCTGTTTTCAGGATTTTTTTATATTACAAGTAGATACAGGAAATAAAAAGCACATTTTTTCCTATATATTTTATAGTATGTATTTTACTTTGTGTTGCATCTTTATTTGCTTTAATTTTAATCTTCTGGCTACTATTTGTGTTTTCAGGAAAAAGAACTCAGTGAGAGCATTCCTGAAGAAACACTGCACCTTTCTGGAAAAGCTACTTCAGAAGAAGACAGGGAAACATTAATTGCAAGCCAAAGGGTAGGAAGAAGCAAAAGACCTAAAAAAGACAGATTATCATGGCCAAAGTTCCAATCAATGAAAAATAAAAAGATACTCGGGCACAGAAGATCTCATAGTACATCCGATGCATATGAGCCTGCTATACAGGATATTTCCCCTACGAGCACAGACACAGAGTCACAATTTCAACAAGAAGTCCCTATGAAAGAAAAAAAAGGAAGCCAAAAGAAACTGAAGTTCCCTAGCATTGGGTTCAGAATGCACAGATCTAAACCAGAAACACAGGACAAGACAAAAAAAGAAATAAAAACAACACTGCTATCTGAAAAACAAAAAATATATAAAGAAGAGATCAGCCTGGAAAATCCTGAAATACTGACTGTTGAATATACCACATCTCCTGCTTATGAAATTAAAACAGGGGAAGTACATGAAACTTTAACAAAAGACTTAAAAGATATGAAAAATGGAATTCCATCTCATGCAAAAAAATGCCCTGAAGTTGAAATAAGCATAAAAAAAGAAAAAGACAAGGAATCAACAACAACAACATTTACTGTACCTGAAGTATCAGCTATAACAACAGAAATATCAAAGCCCAGTGTAGAAACACCTGATCTGACAGAAAGCCCAACTAAAAAAACACCACAAACCTCCTCAAAATCACGAAAAAAGAAACAGAAAGGAACAGCAGATAAAAGAGAAAGTGGAACTAACATAGACCTGACGGGTCACACAGCACAAGGATCCATACAGGTAAAAGGCCTAGAAGTAGGCATTGCTAAAGCAGAATTACACACACCACCTGACACAACGGAAACAGGAGAAAAACAAGCAGAAGATGACACACAAATTCAGAAAACAAAATCTGGGATTTCAGTGACCAAAAGAAAAGAGCCAGAGACTGAAAACTCCAAACTGGGAAGTGATGATCCACATTCACTACCAGAAAAAAGAGCTGATACAAGTTCAGAAGATGGTAGGATTATGGATGTGAAACCTCACATGCCTGATGCAGAATCTGAAGTATCTACTTGGAAAATGCAAATGCCATCATTCAAAATAACCAGAAGTCCTAAAACTGACATGAAAATACCAAGAGAAGAAAGGACGGTTGACTCATTAGATAACATGAAAAAGGAACTGAGAGAAGAAGGTGACATGCACACAAGTGAGAACACCGAGAAGATGGAAACTGGCATGAAGATAGGAGAAAAGGAAGTAGAGGGAAAAGAAAGCAAATTCCGACTGCCAAAGCTTAAATTACCTACATTTACCTGGACAACTACACGGGATGAGACAGGGCAAACCGAAACTCAGGTAAGCGACAGGGAAGGAGAAATTCCAAAGGAAGGAACAGTGCCATCCCTAGAAGCAAATGAAAAAACAGCAACAGGAGAATCAAGAGAAGACAAGAAAGGTCCAATTTCAGAAATGGAAATAACAATATCCAAAGAAAAAACAAACGACAATGACATAAAACAAATACTGCAAGGCCACAAGCCAGTTATGAATAATGTAACTGTAAAAGACTCATCAAATGAGTACCATTTGAAAGACCTAGAAGACAAAATGGATATTACAAAACCCTATACTGAAATAAAAAATGGTGAAGTGAGTATATCACTACAGAAAACAAAAGACATAAATGAAACAGTGACTGTCACAGGGGAGGGCCCCGCGCTGGGCCTCAAAGCCGACATCCCCGGGGCCAAAACTGAAGGCGCCGGCTGGAAGGTGGAGAAGCCCTCCCTCAAAATGCCCAAAGCTGACCTCAAAGCTCCCAAGGTGGACATCAGCCTCCCCTCCGTCGACGTCACCCTTCCAAAGGCCAGCGTCGACCTGCAGGCCCCCGAGGCGGCCCTCAGCCTCGAAGGAGAAGCAAAAGCCCCAGAGAAGGAGGCCGCCAAGACCAAGGACGGCAAGTTCAAGATGCCCAAGTTCGGCATGCCTTCCTTTGGCTGGTCCAGCAGCAGAGAGGCCAAGGCCACCGTGGCCGCCGCTGACGTGGACGTCGGCCTCAAGGAGCCCCAGGTGACGGTGCCCTCGGGAACCGCCGAAGTCGACGTCACCCTGCCCACGGCCGACATCCAAGCGCCCAGCGTGGAGGTGACCGTCGAGACGCCTGCCGCAGGAGAAGGCGAGAAAGGCCGGTTCAAGATGCCCGACGTCAAGATGCCCAGCGTCAAGCTGCCCAAAGTCAAAGGTCCCCACGTGCAGGTCAGCCTGCCAAAGGCGGAGGGCTCGCTGCCCAAAGGCCAGGCCGAAGTCCCGGAGGGCGAACTCAGCCTGCAGGGCCCCGACGCCGAAGGTGGCCTGGAGGTGGCCGCCGGCAAAGTTGAGGGGGCTGGCATGAAGATACACATGCCCAAAGTCAAGGTGCCCAGCGTGGTCTTCTCCAAGCCCACCGTCAAGGCTCCCAAACTGGACGCAGACGTCAGCCTGCACAAAGGCGACGCCAGCCTCCCAGAGGCAGACCTCAAGGCCGGCGACGCCACCATCGCGGCCCCCGACATCAAGCTGCCCTCCGTGGAAGGCTCCCTCGAGCTCCAGGCGCCCGAGGTAGACCTCAAAGTGCCCTCTGGCGAAGGCTCGCTTGACGGAGCCGAGCTGGAAGCCACCGGCCTCAAAGGCAAGTTTAAGATGCCCAAATTCGACAAGCCCAAGTTTGGAGTCTCGCCTCCCAAGGTGGAAGGGCTGGAAGGCGAGGTCAGCCTGCCCTCCGCAGAGGTCGACCTCCCCTCCGCCACCATCACGGCCGCAGGGGAGGGCCCCGCGCTGGGCCTCAAAGCCGACGTCCCCGGGGCCAAAACTGAAGGCGCCGGCTGGAAGGTGGAGAAGCCCTCCCTCAAAATGCCCAAAGCTGACATCAAAGCTCCCAAGGTGGACATCAGCCTCCCCTCCGTCGACGTCACCCTTCCAAAGGCCAGCGTCGACCTGCAGGCCCCCGAGGCGGCCCTCAGCCTCGAAGGAGAAGCAAAAGCCCCAGAGAAGGAGGCCGCCAAGACCAAGGACGGCAAGTTCAAGATGCCCAAGTTCGGCATGCCTTCCTTTGGCTGGTCCAGCAGCAGAGAGGCCAAGGCCACCGTGGCCGCCGCTGACGTGGACGTCGGCCTCAAGGAGCCCCAGGTGACGGTGCCCTCGGGAACCGCCGAAGTCGACGTCACCCTGCCCACGGCCGACATCCAAGCGCCCAGCGTGGAGGTGACCGTCGAGACGCCTGCCGCAGGAGAAGGCGAGAAAGGCCGGTTCAAGATGCCCGACGTCAAGATGCCCAGCGTCAAGCTGCCCAAAGTCAAAGGTCCCCACGTGCAGGTCAGCCTGCCAAAGGCGGAGGGCTCGCTGCCCAAAGGCCAGGCCGAAGTCCCGGAGGGCGAACTCAGCCTGCAGGGCCCCGACGCCGAAGGTGGCCTGGAGGTGGCCGCCGGCAAAGTTGAGGGGGCTGGCATGAAGATACACATGCCCAAAGTCAAGGTGCCCAGCGTGGTCTTCTCCAAGCCCACCGTCAAGGCTCCCAAACTGGACGCAGACGTCAGCCTGCACAAAGGCGACGCCAGCCTCCCAGAGGCAGACCTCAAGGCCGGCGACGCCACCATCGCGGCCCCCGACATCAAGCTGCCCTCCGTGGAAGGCTCCCTCGAGCTCCAGGCGCCCGAGGTAGACCTCAAAGTGCCCTCTGGCGAAGGCTCGCTTGACGGAGCCGAGCTGGAAGCCACCGGCCTCAAAGGCAAGTTTAAGATGCCCAAATTCGACAAGCCCAAGTTTGGAGTCTCGCCTCCCAAGGTGGAAGGGCTGGAAGGCGAGGTCAGCCTGCCCTCCGCAGAGGTCGACCTCCCCTCCGCCACCATCACGGCCGCAGGGGAGGGCCCCGCGCTGGGCCTCAAAGCCGACGTCCCCGGGGCCAAAACTGAAGGCGCCGGCTGGAAGGTGGAGAAGCCCTCCCTCAAAATGCCCAAAGCTGACATCAAAGCTCCCAAGGTGGACATCAGCCTCCCCTCCGTCGACGTCACCCTTCCAAAGGCCAGCGTCGACCTGCAGGCCCCCGAGGCGGCCCTCAGCCTCGAAGGAGAAGCAAAAGCCCCAGAGAAGGAGGCCGCCAAGACCAAGGACGGCAAGTTCAAGATGCCCAAGTTCGGCATGCCTTCCTTTGGCTGGTCCAGCAGCAGAGAGGCCAAGGCCACCGTGGCCGCCGCTGACGTGGACGTCGGCCTCAAGGAGCCCCAGGTGACGGTGCCCTCGGGAACCGCCGAAGTCGACGTCACCCTGCCCACGGCCGACATCCAAGCGCCCAGCGTGGAGGTGACCGTCGAGACGCCTGCCGCAGGAGAAGGCGAGAAAGGCCGGTTCAAGATGCCCGACGTCAAGATGCCCAGCGTCAAGCTGCCCAAAGTCAAAGGTCCCCACGTGCAGGTCAGCCTGCCAAAGGCGGAGGGCTCGCTGCCCAAAGGCCAGGCCGAAGTCCCGGAGGGCGAACTCAGCCTGCAGGGCCCCGACGCCGAAGGTGGCCTGGAGGTGGCCGCCGGCAAAGTTGAGGGGGCTGGCATGAAGATACACATGCCCAAAGTCAAGGTGCCCAGCGTGGTCTTCTCCAAGCCCACCGTCAAGGCTCCCAAACTGGACGCAGACGTCAGCCTGCACAAAGGCGACGCCAGCCTCCCAGAGGCAGACCTCAAGGCCGGCGACGCCACCATCGCGGCCCCCGACATCAAGCTGCCCTCCGTGGAAGGCTCCCTCGAGCTCCAGGCGCCCGAGGTAGACCTCAAAGTGCCCTCTGGCGAAGGCTCGCTTGACGGAGCCGAGCTGGAAGCCACCGGCCTCAAAGGCAAGTTTAAGATGCCCAAATTCGACAAGCCCAAGTTTGGAGTCTCGCCTCCCAAGGTGGAAGGGCTGGAAGGCGAGGTCAGCCTGCCCTCCGCAGAGGTCGACCTCCCCTCCGCCACCATCACGGCCGCAGGGGAGGGCCCCGCGCTGGGCCTCAAAGCCGACGTCCCCGGGGCCAAAACTGAAGGCGCCGGCTGGAAGGTGGAGAAGCCCTCCCTCAAAATGCCCAAAGCTGACATCAAAGCTCCCAAGGTGGACATCAGCCTCCCCTCCGTCGACGTCACCCTTCCAAAGGCCAGCGTCGACCTGCAGGCCCCCGAGGCGGCCCTCAGCCTCGAAGGAGAAGCAAAAGCCCCAGAGAAGGAGGCCGCCAAGACCAAGGACGGCAAGTTCAAGATGCCCAAGTTCGGCATGCCTTCCTTTGGCTGGTCCAGCAGCAGAGAGGCCAAGGCCACCGTGGCCGCCGCTGACGTGGACGTCGGCCTCAAGGAGCCCCAGGTGACGGTGCCCTCGGGAACCGCCGAAGTCGACGTCACCCTGCCCACGGCCGACATCCAAGCGCCCAGCGTGGAGGTGACCGTCGAGACGCCTGCCGCAGGAGAAGGCGAGAAAGGCCGGTTCAAGATGCCCGACGTCAAGATGCCCAGCGTCAAGCTGCCCAAAGTCAAAGGTCCCCACGTGCAGGTCAGCCTGCCAAAGGCGGAGGGCTCGCTGCCCAAAGGCCAGGCCGAAGTCCCGGAGGGCGAACTCAGCCTGCAGGGCCCCGACGCCGAAGGTGGCCTGGAGGTGGCCGCCGGCAAAGTTGAGGGGGCTGGCATGAAGATACACATGCCCAAAGTCAAGGTGCCCAGCGTGGTCTTCTCCAAGCCCACCGTCAAGGCTCCCAAACTGGACGCAGACGTCAGCCTGCACAAAGGCGACGCCAGCCTCCCAGAGGCAGACCTCAAGGCCGGCGACGCCACCATCGCGGCCCCCGACATCAAGCTGCCCTCCGTGGAAGGCTCCCTCGAGCTCCAGGCGCCCGAGGTAGACCTCAAAGTGCCCTCTGGCGAAGGCTCGCTTGACGGAGCCGAGCTGGAAGCCACCGGCCTCAAAGGCAAGTTTAAGATGCCCAAATTCGACAAGCCCAAGTTTGGAGTCTCGCCTCCCAAGGTGGAAGGGCTGGAAGGCGAGGTCAGCCTGCCCTCCGCAGAGGTCGACCTCCCCTCCGCCACCATCACGGCCGCAGGGGAGGGCCCCGCGCTGGGCCTCAAAGCCGACGTCCCCGGGGCCAAAACTGAAGGCGCCGGCTGGAAGGTGGAGAAGCCCTCCCTCAAAATGCCCAAAGCTGACATCAAAGCTCCCAAGGTGGACATCAGCCTCCCCTCCGTCGACGTCACCCTTCCAAAGGCCAGCGTCGACCTGCAGGCCCCCGAGGCGGCCCTCAGCCTCGAAGGAGAAGCAAAAGCCCCAGAGAAGGAGGCCGCCAAGACCAAGGACGGCAAGTTCAAGATGCCCAAGTTCGGCATGCCTTCCTTTGGCTGGTCCAGCAGCAGAGAGGCCAAGGCCACCGTGGCCGCCGCTGACGTGGACGTCGGCCTCAAGGAGCCCCAGGTGACGGTGCCCTCGGGAACCGCCGAAGTCGACGTCACCCTGCCCACGGCCGACATCCAAGCGCCCAGCGTGGAGGTGACCGTCGAGACGCCTGCCGCAGGAGAAGGCGAGAAAGGCCGGTTCAAGATGCCCGACGTCAAGATGCCCAGCGTCAAGCTGCCCAAAGTCAAAGGTCCCCACGTGCAGGTCAGCCTGCCAAAGGCGGAGGGCTCGCTGCCCAAAGGCCAGGCCGAAGTCCCGGAGGGCGAACTCAGCCTGCAGGGCCCCGACGCCGAAGGTGGCCTGGAGGTGGCCGCCGGCAAAGTTGAGGGGGCTGGCATGAAGATACACATGCCCAAAGTCAAGGTGCCCAGCGTGGTCTTCTCCAAGCCCACCGTCAAGGCTCCCAAACTGGACGCAGACGTCAGCCTGCACAAAGGCGACGCCAGCCTCCCAGAGGCAGACCTCAAGGCCGGCGACGCCACCATCGCGGCCCCCGACATCAAGCTGCCCTCCGTGGAAGGCTCCCTCGAGCTCCAGGCGCCCGAGGTAGACCTCAAAGTGCCCTCTGGCGAAGGCTCGCTTGACGGAGCCGAGCTGGAAGCCACCGGCCTCAAAGGCAAGTTTAAGATGCCCAAATTCGACAAGCCCAAGTTTGGAGTCTCGCCTCCCAAGGTGGAAGGGCTGGAAGGCGAGGTCAGCCTGCCCTCCGCAGAGGTCGACCTCCCCTCCGCCACCATCACGGCCGCAGGGGAGGGCCCCGCGCTGGGCCTCAAAGCCGACGTCCCCGGGGCCAAAACTGAAGGCGCCGGCTGGAAGGTGGAGAAGCCCTCCCTCAAAATGCCCAAAGCTGACATCAAAGCTCCCAAGGTGGACATCAGCCTCCCCTCCGTCGACGTCACCCTTCCAAAGGCCAGCGTCGACCTGCAGGCCCCCGAGGCGGCCCTCAGCCTCGAAGGAGAAGCAAAAGCCCCAGAGAAGGAGGCCGCCAAGACCAAGGACGGCAAGTTCAAGATGCCCAAGTTCGGCATGCCTTCCTTTGGCTGGTCCAGCAGCAGAGAGGCCAAGGCCACCGTGGCCGCCGCTGACGTGGACGTCGGCCTCAAGGAGCCCCAGGTGACGGTGCCCTCGGGAACCGCCGAAGTCGACGTCACCCTGCCCACGGCCGACATCCAAGCGCCCAGCGTGGAGGTGACCGTCGAGACGCCTGCCGCAGGAGAAGGCGAGAAAGGCCGGTTCAAGATGCCCGACGTCAAGATGCCCAGCGTCAAGCTGCCCAAAGTCAAAGGTCCCCACGTGCAGGTCAGCCTGCCAAAGGCGGAGGGCTCGCTGCCCAAAGGCCAGGCCGAAGTCCCGGAGGGCGAACTCAGCCTGCAGGGCCCCGACGCCGAAGGTGGCCTGGAGGTGGCCGCCGGCAAAGTTGAGGGGGCTGGCATGAAGATACACATGCCCAAAGTCAAGGTGCCCAGCGTGGTCTTCTCCAAGCCCACCGTCAAGGCTCCCAAACTGGACGCAGACGTCAGCCTGCACAAAGGCGACGCCAGCCTCCCAGAGGCAGACCTCAAGGCCGGCGACGCCACCATCGCGGCCCCCGACATCAAGCTGCCCTCCGTGGAAGGCTCCCTCGAGCTCCAGGCGCCCGAGGTAGACCTCAAAGTGCCCTCTGGCGAAGGCTCGCTTGACGGAGCCGAGCTGGAAGCCACCGGCCTCAAAGGCAAGTTTAAGATGCCCAAATTCGACAAGCCCAAGTTTGGAGTCTCGCCTCCCAAGGTGGAAGGGCTGGAAGGCGAGGTCAGCCTGCCCTCCGCAGAGGTCGACCTCCCCTCCGCCACCATCACGGCCGCAGGGGAGGGCCCCGCGCTGGGCCTCAAAGCCGACGTCCCCGGGGCCAAAACTGAAGGCGCCGGCTGGAAGGTGGAGAAGCCCTCCCTCAAAATGCCCAAAGCTGACATCAAAGCTCCCAAGGTGGACATCAGCCTCCCCTCCGTCGACGTCACCCTTCCAAAGGCCAGCGTCGACCTGCAGGCCCCCGAGGCGGCCCTCAGCCTCGAAGGAGAAGCAAAAGCCCCAGAGAAGGAGGCCGCCAAGACCAAGGACGGCAAGTTCAAGATGCCCAAGTTCGGCATGCCTTCCTTTGGCTGGTCCAGCAGCAGAGAGGCCAAGGCCACCGTGGCCGCCGCTGACGTGGACGTCGGCCTCAAGGAGCCCCAGGTGACGGTGCCCTCGGGAACCGCCGAAGTCGACGTCACCCTGCCCACGGCCGACATCCAAGCGCCCAGCGTGGAGGTGACCGTCGAGACGCCTGCCGCAGGAGAAGGCGAGAAAGGCCGGTTCAAGATGCCCGACGTCAAGATGCCCAGCGTCAAGCTGCCCAAAGTCAAAGGTCCCCACGTGCAGGTCAGCCTGCCAAAGGCGGAGGGCTCGCTGCCCAAAGGCCAGGCCGAAGTCCCGGAGGGCGAACTCAGCCTGCAGGGCCCCGACGCCGAAGGTGGCCTGGAGGTGGCCGCCGGCAAAGTTGAGGGGGCTGGCATGAAGATACACATGCCCAAAGTCAAGGTGCCCAGCGTGGTCTTCTCCAAGCCCACCGTCAAGGCTCCCAAACTGGACGCAGACGTCAGCCTGCACAAAGGCGACGCCAGCCTCCCAGAGGCAGACCTCAAGGCCGGCGACGCCACCATCGCGGCCCCCGACATCAAGCTGCCCTCCGTGGAAGGCTCCCTCGAGCTCCAGGCGCCCGAGGTAGACCTCAAAGTGCCCTCTGGCGAAGGCTCGCTTGACGGAGCCGAGCTGGAAGCCACCGGCCTCAAAGGCAAGTTTAAGATGCCCAAATTCGACAAGCCCAAGTTTGGAGTCTCGCCTCCCAAGGTGGAAGGGCTGGAAGGCGAGGTCAGCCTGCCCTCCGCAGAGGTCGACCTCCCCTCCGCCACCATCACGGCCGCAGGGGAGGGCCCCGCGCTGGGCCTCAAAGCCGACGTCCCCGGGGCCAAAACTGAAGGCGCCGGCTGGAAGGTGGAGAAGCCCTCCCTCAAAATGCCCAAAGCTGACATCAAAGCTCCCAAGGTGGACATCAGCCTCCCCTCCGTCGACGTCACCCTTCCAAAGGCCAGCGTCGACCTGCAGGCCCCCGAGGCGGCCCTCAGCCTCGAAGGAGAAGCAAAAGCCCCAGAGAAGGAGGCCGCCAAGACCAAGGACGGCAAGTTCAAGATGCCCAAGTTCGGCATGCCTTCCTTTGGCTGGTCCAGCAGCAGAGAGGCCAAGGCCACCGTGGCCGCCGCTGACGTGGACGTCGGCCTCAAGGAGCCCCAGGTGACGGTGCCCTCGGGAACCGCCGAAGTCGACGTCACCCTGCCCACGGCCGACATCCAAGCGCCCAGCGTGGAGGTGACCGTCGAGACGCCTGCCGCAGGAGAAGGCGAGAAAGGCCGGTTCAAGATGCCCGACGTCAAGATGCCCAGCGTCAAGCTGCCCAAAGTCAAAGGTCCCCACGTGCAGGTCAGCCTGCCAAAGGCGGAGGGCTCGCTGCCCAAAGGCCAGGCCGAAGTCCCGGAGGGCGAACTCAGCCTGCAGGGCCCCGACGCCGAAGGTGGCCTGGAGGTGGCCGCCGGCAAAGTTGAGGGGGCTGGCATGAAGATACACATGCCCAAAGTCAAGGTGCCCAGCGTGGTCTTCTCCAAGCCCACCGTCAAGGCTCCCAAACTGGACGCAGACGTCAGCCTGCACAAAGGCGACGCCAGCCTCCCAGAGGCAGACCTCAAGGCCGGCGACGCCACCATCGCGGCCCCCGACATCAAGCTGCCCTCCGTGGAAGGCTCCCTCGAGCTCCAGGCGCCCGAGGTAGACCTCAAAGTGCCCTCTGGCGAAGGCTCGCTTGACGGAGCCGAGCTGGAAGCCACCGGCCTCAAAGGCAAGTTTAAGATGCCCAAATTCGACAAGCCCAAGTTTGGAGTCTCGCCTCCCAAGGTGGAAGGGCTGGAAGGCGAGGTCAGCCTGCCCTCCGCAGAGGTCGACCTCCCCTCCGCCACCATCACGGCCGCAGGGGAGGGCCCCGCGCTGGGCCTCAAAGCCGACGTCCCCGGGGCCAAAACTGAAGGCGCCGGCTGGAAGGTGGAGAAGCCCTCCCTCAAAATGCCCAAAGCTGACATCAAAGCTCCCAAGGTGGACATCAGCCTCCCCTCCGTCGACGTCACCCTTCCAAAGGCCAGCGTCGACCTGCAGGCCCCCGAGGCGGCCCTCAGCCTCGAAGGAGAAGCAAAAGCCCCAGAGAAGGAGGCCGCCAAGACCAAGGACGGCAAGTTCAAGATGCCCAAGTTCGGCATGCCTTCCTTTGGCTGGTCCAGCAGCAGAGAGGCCAAGGCCACCGTGGCCGCCGCTGACGTGGACGTCGGCCTCAAGGAGCCCCAGGTGACGGTGCCCTCGGGAACCGCCGAAGTCGACGTCACCCTGCCCACGGCCGACATCCAAGCGCCCAGCGTGGAGGTGACCGTCGAGACGCCTGCCGCAGGAGAAGGCGAGAAAGGCCGGTTCAAGATGCCCGACGTCAAGATGCCCAGCGTCAAGCTGCCCAAAGTCAAAGGTCCCCACGTGCAGGTCAGCCTGCCAAAGGCGGAGGGCTCGCTGCCCAAAGGCCAGGCCGAAGTCCCGGAGGGCGAACTCAGCCTGCAGGGCCCCGACGCCGAAGGTGGCCTGGAGGTGGCCGCCGGCAAAGTTGAGGGGGCTGGCATGAAGATACACATGCCCAAAGTCAAGGTGCCCAGCGTGGTCTTCTCCAAGCCCACCGTCAAGGCTCCCAAACTGGACGCAGACGTCAGCCTGCACAAAGGCGACGCCAGCCTCCCAGAGGCAGACCTCAAGGCCGGCGACGCCACCATCGCGGCCCCCGACATCAAGCTGCCCTCCGTGGAAGGCTCCCTCGAGCTCCAGGCGCCCGAGGTAGACCTCAAAGTGCCCTCTGGCGAAGGCTCGCTTGACGGAGCCGAGCTGGAAGCCACCGGCCTCAAAGGCAAGTTTAAGATGCCCAAATTCGACAAGCCCAAGTTTGGAGTCTCGCCTCCCAAGGTGGAAGGGCTGGAAGGCGAGGTCAGCCTGCCCTCCGCAGAGGTCGACCTCCCCTCCGCCACCATCACGGCCGCAGGGGAGGGCCCCGCGCTGGGCCTCAAAGCCGACGTCCCCGGGGCCAAAACTGAAGGCGCCGGCTGGAAGGTGGAGAAGCCCTCCCTCAAAATGCCCAAAGCTGACATCAAAGCTCCCAAGGTGGACATCAGCCTCCCCTCCGTCGACGTCACCCTTCCAAAGGCCAGCGTCGACCTGCAGGCCCCCGAGGCGGCCCTCAGCCTCGAAGGAGAAGCAAAAGCCCCAGAGAAGGAGGCCGCCAAGACCAAGGACGGCAAGTTCAAGATGCCCAAGTTCGGCATGCCTTCCTTTGGCTGGTCCAGCAGCAGAGAGGCCAAGGCCACCGTGGCCGCCGCTGACGTGGACGTCGGCCTCAAGGAGCCCCAGGTGACGGTGCCCTCGGGAACCGCCGAAGTCGACGTCACCCTGCCCACGGCCGACATCCAAGCGCCCAGCGTGGAGGTGACCGTCGAGACGCCTGCCGCAGGAGAAGGCGAGAAAGGCCGGTTCAAGATGCCCGACGTCAAGATGCCCAGCGTCAAGCTGCCCAAAGTCAAAGGTCCCCACGTGCAGGTCAGCCTGCCAAAGGCGGAGGGCTCGCTGCCCAAAGGCCAGGCCGAAGTCCCGGAGGGCGAACTCAGCCTGCAGGGCCCCGACGCCGAAGGTGGCCTGGAGGTGGCCGCCGGCAAAGTTGAGGGGGCTGGCATGAAGATACACATGCCCAAAGTCAAGGTGCCCAGCGTGGTCTTCTCCAAGCCCACCGTCAAGGCTCCCAAACTGGACGCAGACGTCAGCCTGCACAAAGGCGACGCCAGCCTCCCAGAGGCAGACCTCAAGGCCGGCGACGCCACCATCGCGGCCCCCGACATCAAGCTGCCCTCCGTGGAAGGCTCCCTCGAGCTCCAGGCGCCCGAGGTAGACCTCAAAGTGCCCTCTGGCGAAGGCTCGCTTGACGGAGCCGAGCTGGAAGCCACCGGCCTCAAAGGCAAGTTTAAGATGCCCAAATTCGACAAGCCCAAGTTTGGAGTCTCGCCTCCCAAGGTGGAAGGGCTGGAAGGCGAGGTCAGCCTGCCCTCCGCAGAGGTCGACCTCCCCTCCGCCACCATCACGGCCGCAGGGGAGGGCCCCGCGCTGGGCCTCAAAGCCGACGTCCCCGGGGCCAAAACTGAAGGCGCCGGCTGGAAGGTGGAGAAGCCCTCCCTCAAAATGCCCAAAGCTGACATCAAAGCTCCCAAGGTGGACATCAGCCTCCCCTCCGTCGACGTCACCCTTCCAAAGGCCAGCGTCGACCTGCAGGCCCCCGAGGCGGCCCTCAGCCTCGAAGGAGAAGCAAAAGCCCCAGAGAAGGAGGCCGCCAAGACCAAGGACGGCAAGTTCAAGATGCCCAAGTTCGGCATGCCTTCCTTTGGCTGGTCCAGCAGCAGAGAGGCCAAGGCCACCGTGGCCGCCGCTGACGTGGACGTCGGCCTCAAGGAGCCCCAGGTGACGGTGCCCTCGGGAACCGCCGAAGTCGACGTCACCCTGCCCACGGCCGACATCCAAGCGCCCAGCGTGGAGGTGACCGTCGAGACGCCTGCCGCAGGAGAAGGCGAGAAAGGCCGGTTCAAGATGCCCGACGTCAAGATGCCCAGCGTCAAGCTGCCCAAAGTCAAAGGTCCCCACGTGCAGGTCAGCCTGCCAAAGGCGGAGGGCTCGCTGCCCAAAGGCCAGGCCGAAGTCCCGGAGGGCGAACTCAGCCTGCAGGGCCCCGACGCCGAAGGTGGCCTGGAGGTGGCCGCCGGCAAAGTTGAGGGGGCTGGCATGAAGATACACATGCCCAAAGTCAAGGTGCCCAGCGTGGTCTTCTCCAAGCCCACCGTCAAGGCTCCCAAACTGGACGCAGACGTCAGCCTGCACAAAGGCGACGCCAGCCTCCCAGAGGCAGACCTCAAGGCCGGCGACGCCACCATCGCGGCCCCCGACATCAAGCTGCCCTCCGTGGAAGGCTCCCTCGAGCTCCAGGCGCCCGAGGTAGACCTCAAAGTGCCCTCTGGCGAAGGCTCGCTTGACGGAGCCGAGCTGGAAGCCACCGGCCTCAAAGGCAAGTTTAAGATGCCCAAATTCGACAAGCCCAAGTTTGGAGTCTCGCCTCCCAAGGTGGAAGGGCTGGAAGGCGAGGTCAGCCTGCCCTCCGCAGAGGTCGACCTCCCCTCCGCCACCATCACGGCCGCAGGGGAGGGCCCCGCGCTGGGCCTCAAAGCCGACGTCCCCGGGGCCAAAACTGAAGGCGCCGGCTGGAAGGTGGAGAAGCCCTCCCTCAAAATGCCCAAAGCTGACATCAAAGCTCCCAAGGTGGACATCAGCCTCCCCTCCGTCGACGTCACCCTTCCAAAGGCCAGCGTCGACCTGCAGGCCCCCGAGGCGGCCCTCAGCCTCGAAGGAGAAGCAAAAGCCCCAGAGAAGGAGGCCGCCAAGACCAAGGACGGCAAGTTCAAGATGCCCAAGTTCGGCATGCCTTCCTTTGGCTGGTCCAGCAGCAGAGAGGCCAAGGCCACCGTGGCCGCCGCTGACGTGGACGTCGGCCTCAAGGAGCCCCAGGTGACGGTGCCCTCGGGAACCGCCGAAGTCGACGTCACCCTGCCCACGGCCGACATCCAAGCGCCCAGCGTGGAGGTGACCGTCGAGACGCCTGCCGCAGGAGAAGGCGAGAAAGGCCGGTTCAAGATGCCCGACGTCAAGATGCCCAGCGTCAAGCTGCCCAAAGTCAAAGGTCCCCACGTGCAGGTCAGCCTGCCAAAGGCGGAGGGCTCGCTGCCCAAAGGCCAGGCCGAAGTCCCGGAGGGCGAACTCAGCCTGCAGGGCCCCGACGCCGAAGGTGGCCTGGAGGTGGCCGCCGGCAAAGTTGAGGGGGCTGGCATGAAGATACACATGCCCAAAGTCAAGGTGCCCAGCGTGGTCTTCTCCAAGCCCACCGTCAAGGCTCCCAAACTGGACGCAGACGTCAGCCTGCACAAAGGCGACGCCAGCCTCCCAGAGGCAGACCTCAAGGCCGGCGACGCCACCATCGCGGCCCCCGACATCAAGCTGCCCTCCGTGGAAGGCTCCCTCGAGCTCCAGGCGCCCGAGGTAGACCTCAAAGTGCCCTCTGGCGAAGGCTCGCTTGACGGAGCCGAGCTGGAAGCCACCGGCCTCAAAGGCAAGTTTAAGATGCCCAAATTCGACAAGCCCAAGTTTGGAGTCTCGCCTCCCAAGGTGGAAGGGCTGGAAGGCGAGGTCAGCCTGCCCTCCGCAGAGGTCGACCTCCCCTCCGCCACCATCACGGCCGCAGGGGAGGGCCCCGCGCTGGGCCTCAAAGCCGACGTCCCCGGGGCCAAAACTGAAGGCGCCGGCTGGAAGGTGGAGAAGCCCTCCCTCAAAATGCCCAAAGCTGACATCAAAGCTCCCAAGGTGGACATCAGCCTCCCCTCCGTCGACGTCACCCTTCCAAAGGCCAGCGTCGACCTGCAGGCCCCCGAGGCGGCCCTCAGCCTCGAAGGAGAAGCAAAAGCCCCAGAGAAGGAGGCCGCCAAGACCAAGGACGGCAAGTTCAAGATGCCCAAGTTCGGCATGCCTTCCTTTGGCTGGTCCAGCAGCAGAGAGGCCAAGGCCACCGTGGCCGCCGCTGACGTGGACGTCGGCCTCAAGGAGCCCCAGGTGACGGTGCCCTCGGGAACCGCCGAAGTCGACGTCACCCTGCCCACGGCCGACATCCAAGCGCCCAGCGTGGAGGTGACCGTCGAGACGCCTGCCGCAGGAGAAGGCGAGAAAGGCCGGTTCAAGATGCCCGACGTCAAGATGCCCAGCGTCAAGCTGCCCAAAGTCAAAGGTCCCCACGTGCAGGTCAGCCTGCCAAAGGCGGAGGGCTCGCTGCCCAAAGGCCAGGCCGAAGTCCCGGAGGGCGAACTCAGCCTGCAGGGCCCCGACGCCGAAGGTGGCCTGGAGGTGGCCGCCGGCAAAGTTGAGGGGGCTGGCATGAAGATACACATGCCCAAAGTCAAGGTGCCCAGCGTGGTCTTCTCCAAGCCCACCGTCAAGGCTCCCAAACTGGACGCAGACGTCAGCCTGCACAAAGGCGACGCCAGCCTCCCAGAGGCAGACCTCAAGGCCGGCGACGCCACCATCGCGGCCCCCGACATCAAGCTGCCCTCCGTGGAAGGCTCCCTCGAGCTCCAGGCGCCCGAGGTAGACCTCAAAGTGCCCTCTGGCGAAGGCTCGCTTGACGGAGCCGAGCTGGAAGCCACCGGCCTCAAAGGCAAGTTTAAGATGCCCAAATTCGACAAGCCCAAGTTTGGAGTCTCGCCTCCCAAGGTGGAAGGGCCGGAAGGCGAGGTCAGCCTGCCCTCCGCAGAGGTCGACCTCCCCTCCGCCACCATCACGGCCGCAGGGGAGGGCCCCGCGCTGGGCCTCAAAGCCGACGTCCCCGGGGCCAAAACTGAAGGCGCCGGCTGGAAGGTGGAGAAGCCCTCCCTCAAAATGCCCAAAGCTGACATCAAAGCTCCCAAGGTGGACATCAGCCTCCCCTCCGTCGACGTCACCCTTCCAAAGGCCAGCGTCGACCTGCAGGCCCCCGAGGCGGCCCTCAGCCTCGAAGGAGAAGCAAAAGCCCCAGAGAAGGAGGCCGCCAAGACCAAGGACGGCAAGTTCAAGATGCCCAAGTTCGGCATGCCTTCCTTTGGCTGGTCCAGCAGCAGAGAGGCCAAGGCCACCGTGGCCGCCGCTGACGTGGACGTCGGCCTCAAGGAGCCCCAGGTGACGGTGCCCTCGGGAACCGCCGAAGTCGACGTCACCCTGCCCACGGCCGACATCCAAGCGCCCAGCGTGGAGGTGACCGTCGAGACGCCTGCCGCAGGAGAAGGCGAGAAAGGCCGGTTCAAGATGCCCGACGTCAAGATGCCCAGCGTCAAGCTGCCCAAAGTCAAAGGTCCCCACGTGCAGGTCAGCCTGCCAAAGGCGGAGGGCTCGCTGCCCAAAGGCCAGGCCGAAGTCCCGGAGGGCGAACTCAGCCTGCAGGGCCCCGACGCCGAAGGTGGCCTGGAGGTGGCCGCCGGCAAAGTTGAGGGGGCTGGCATGAAGATACACATGCCCAAAGTCAAGGTGCCCAGCGTGGTCTTCTCCAAGCCCACCGTCAAGGCTCCCAAACTGGACGCAGACGTCAGCCTGCACAAAGGCGACGCCAGCCTCCCAGAGGCAGACCTCAAGGCCGGCGACGCCACCATCGCGGCCCCCGACATCAAGCTGCCCTCCGTGGAAGGCTCCCTCGAGCTCCAGGCGCCCGAGGTAGACCTCAAAGTGCCCTCTGGCGAAGGCTCGCTTGACGGAGCCGAGCTGGAAGCCACCGGCCTCAAAGGCAAGTTTAAGATGCCCAAATTCGACAAGCCCAAGTTTGGAGTCTCGCCTCCCAAGGTGGAAGGGCCGGAAGGCGAGGTCAGCCTGCCCTCCGCAGAGGTCGACCTCCCCTCCGCCACCATCACGGCCGCAGGGGAGGGCCCCGCGCTGGGCCTCAAAGCCGACGTCCCCGGGGCCAAAACTGAAGGCGCCGGCTGGAAGGTGGAGAAGCCCTCCCTCAAAATGCCCAAAGCTGACATCAAAGCTCCCAAGGTGGACATCAGCCTCCCCTCCGTCGACGTCACCCTTCCAAAGGCCAGCGTCGACCTGCAGGCCCCCGAGGCGGCCCTCAGCCTCGAAGGAGAAGCAAAAGCCCCAGAGAAGGAGGCCGCCAAGACCAAGGACGGCAAGTTCAAGATGCCCAAGTTCGGCATGCCTTCCTTTGGCTGGTCCAGCAGCAGAGAGGCCAAGGCCACCGTGGCCGCCGCTGACGTGGACGTCGGCCTCAAGGAGCCCCAGGTGACGGTGCCCTTGGGAACCGCCGAAGTCGACGTCACCCTGCCCACGGCCGACATTCAAGTGCCTGCTTTTGAAGTGATCACTGAATCTTCCTCAGGTAAAGAGGATGAGATGGGTAAAGCTAAAAGTTCTCTATTTAGAATGCCCAAGGTTTCTCTTTCTAAAAGTTCAAAACCTCAGGCACAGAGTAAATCTGGAGTTGAAATTTCTGTGTCAGAATCTCTTTCAGTAACAGATGAAACTTCTGCTGTTCTTTCAGGCAGTGTTGGATCTAAGCAGCATCCTGATAATAAGGGAGATAGTGGCTCTAGGAGTACTAAATTCAGAATTCCTAGCTTGGGTTTCTCTAAAGTTGATATTGGTTCATCTAAAATTGAACAGGATTTCCCATTACCAAAAGGGGATGTTACTCTTACTAAATATCAGATTAATCTTGCAGAATCTGAATCAAAAATTTCTCATGCTGATGAGAATTTTTCAGTAACAGATTTTGTAATTGTAAATGAAGATGGTTCATTGGAGGAAGAAAGTCTGAAGCCAGGAGGGAAAACACCAGCTGCTGAAATATCTGCTGGTGACACGGAGTTTACAGTTAAAATTCCTAAATTCCGAAAACCAAAATTTGGAATTTCTTGGTCTAAGGGGAAACCATCAGAAAGTTACATTGGTCCAAAAGTGGAATCTGAAATTTCCAAGGAGAGGATAACATCTGATGTGGCTGATGCTGATATTGAAAAATCCACTCCAATCCCTGATGCTGAATTAGGTGTAAAGATACACAAGCCTTCATCTGATGTTGTTCTCAGTGCTCCAAAGTTGGATGTCAGTCTCCCATCAATGGAAGTTTCCATACCGAAATTAGAAGCGGAAATCCATGGCCCAGATTTAGAGTCCAAGCCAGAACAGGAAGTAGTTCCAGGACAGAAGGACACAGAGGAAAAAGAAAACAAATTTAAGACATCAAAATTCAAACTGCCATCCTTCAGTTGGTCCCCAAAGAAGGAAGCAAGTGTTAAACCAGATTCTGGAGCAAACTTGGAAGATGCTAAACTTGCTCTAACATCAGGCAGAATAGACACAGAAGTGAGAGGAACTGCAACTGATGATCAAGGTACTGGGCCAGCCCTTGATTTGGAAATAGCTGCAGAAAAAGTTGAACAAAAAAGTCCAATTAAAAAACCTCAATTTGTTATGCCTAAAATTTCACTCTCCAAGATCAAGGTTCCCAAATCTCAGACACACTCACCAAAAGCTGAAGTTGATGGTTCTATTCCTAAAACAGAAAAGCAACGTGAAGATTCAATACAGATACCTGATATAGAAAGAAGTCACTGTGAAAGGGCAGAAGAAGGGGCACAAATAAACATAAAACTACCTGCTGTTAAGATCCCCACACCAGAGTTTTCCAAAATAGAAACTGGAGCCTCTCAAACTGACATGGGAGTCAGCTCAGCAAAGATTGATGCTGCTCTGCCTCCCTTAGAGGGGAGTTCCTTACAGGTTGTCCTAAAATCAAGTTCTACTGATGAAGATACCATTCAAAAAACAGGTATTAAGTTCCCCAAAGTAGAAGCTTCAACTGATCTGAGGAGCCCTGAAATAGTAACAGAAAGATCATCAGTTGAGGATGGAACAAAGATTAAGTTGGAAGCACCTGAAGGAAAGATAAAAATGCCCAAATTCCAGAAGCCAAAGTTTGGAATCTCCTTAACAAAAGGGAAAGGCCCAGAGACGGAGGTCAGCTCTCCAAAAATAGAAGCTGAGCTACCCCAGCTAAAAATGGCAAACGAAATTGCTGACATTGCTGTGGGAGTTCCAGCATCAGAACTTACATCTGATGTCTCAGATCCTGGAGCAGGTGTTTATGTTTCTAAGGTGAAAACACCCCAAGTTCTAACAGCTGGCATTGAAGCTCCAAAGGTAGACTTAAGCCCCCAATCAGCATCTAAACCAATGGCAGAGGGAGCTATTGAGAGCCTTGAAGAGAAAGAAATCAAATTAAAAGAAGAACATGAAATAAAACCTGAAGAAGTTCAGACTGAAGAACATCAGGGATGGTTTAAAATGCCAAAATTCAGAATGCCTTCATTTGCCCGGACATCCTTAAAGGAAAAAAAAGGTGATGCTGGCATTGAAAGAAGTATGGAAAAAACTCAGGAAGACATTCCCTCTGCCAAAGTACAAACTGAAACCAGTATTCCTGAAAATACCTTCTCATTACCACATGCTGTTGCTGAAATTACTATTGGAAAAGAAGGAACTCCAAAATTAGGAGATTCTGCGAAGAGTTCTGAGGTTAGCTTGCCAAAGGTGGAAGGAGATATTACATTATCTGTGGAAAGAACAGATAGTAGAGTAAATATTCCAAAAACTGAAACTTACGCAGATGTAGTTAAGCGCGGTGCTGAAGAACAAAAAATGCATACTTCCAAAATCACAGTGTGTTCAGCAGAATTGTCTAAATCACACCTAAGTGCTTCAGAAACTGGCAAAGACAACAGTTTAACAAATAGGTTTCCTACAGGTACTCTGACTGTTCAAGAGCATAAAGTCAAATCACAGGATACAGCAGTCCTAAAGGTAGAATGTTCCACTAAATTAGAGACTTCAGAATTAGGATTCAAACCATCAGCAGCTGAGATTACTCTGGATGCAACACAGGAGAAAATAGATCAAAATCAAGAGGCAGTAATTAAAAAAGGAAAGATAGAGGGTGAGATGAAAATGATAGGAAAAGACAGTGATGGAAGCCAATTAAAAAGGTCTAAGTTTGAACGGTCAACATCAGAAGATGGTGTTTATGTTACAGCTAAGCTGGAAGATGTAAAAGTAGAAGTTCCAGGAGTGAAAATGGATGTTAAAATTGCTAGAGTAGATCCTGAAATGAAATTTCAAATGAAAAGTATTGAAAAGGACAAGTCTGCGGGAGTGGAAGTGCAAGTAGAAGACAGAGCAGAAACAAGTAAAATTAAAACATACAAGTTTAAGATTCCAAAGTTTGGAGTGGTGCATTCAGAAGTGAAGGGTTTTGAAGATGATATCAATTTGCCAAAGTCGGAAGCTTATTCAGTATCTAAAACTGAATTAGGCACAGCAGAAATGCAGTTTCAATCATCAAAAACATCCATTGGCCTGGAAAGTTCAACGCTAGATCTTATGGAAGCATCTAAGAGAGTAACAGTGGAAACAGTGGACAAATCACAAGGTGGCCCAGAAGTAAATGTAAAAATTCCCAAATTAAAAATACCAATATTCACTTTCAAAGCTCTCCCAACTGAAGCTGATGTTTCAGTGTCAAAAGTGCCAAGAGATCCAAAGGGATCTAGTACTGACATTGAAGTAGTGCAACTGCAAGCAAGTTCTGCTATCCCTGAAGTAACACAAGAGGCTCTAGAGGGTGCTATTCAAAAAGCAAAAAGCAAAATTCTAACAGTGACTGAACCTGACATTAAAACAGCACAGGTGACTACTACCACTACTGCTGTAGAGTCCTCCCTTTCAAATGCAGGGCACGACTTTCATTGGTCATATGTAGAGGGCCAAGAAGTGAGTGAGAAAGTAGAACCTGAACATGTTGCTATTGAAAGGTGTGCGATTTACTCTACTGAAATACTGAAAGAATCAGAGGTGCTCTCATCAGAAGTCAAAACTGCTACTTTGGGATTCTCACTGCTCAAGGCAAAGTTGCCTGAATCACATAGCAACTTAGAAGTGCTAGCCCAGCAGCCATCTCTAATGGAAGATGCATCCATGAGCAAAACAAAATGTGCTGATGAAAGCTTTGGAGCAGCAGCCCACAGGTCTGGGAGTGCTGAGCTTAAACTATCTGACAAACCACACAGCAAGACTGAAGAATCTCGTGGAGAAGTAAGTTTGTCAAAGTTAAAAACCTTTGCTGTTGAAGTAAAGCCTTTCGATAAACCTGAAGAGAGTCACCCTGATAAGTCACCAGAGGGAATAACTGCAGGTCCTCTCTCTAAAGGTAAGGATGCAGCTGAAGCACTAGAAGATGAAGAAAAAGATATAACCACTGAAAAGGAAAAGGCTGATAGTAAAAGATCTCCTGGAAGATTCAAATTTTGGCTTCCAACTATTGGCTTTTCATCTTCTGGTGATGAAACAAGCACAGATCCAAAAACAGAAGTAAAAAAATCAGTTCCAGAAGACGTGAAACCTGCTGACACATCAGATAATGATTCTTCTAAGCAAACTGAAAAAACTGGATGGTTTAGATTTCCCAAGCTTGGCTTCACATCTCCTTCCAAAAAGGCTAAGACTCTTGACAAAGAAGAGACAGGTCATAAAGAGGAAAGAATCTCAGATGAAGATAGTCCATCAGATAAACCTGATGTATTTTTTGATGCGCAAGAAAGCTTATCACCTAAAGAAATAACAGAGGACAAAAAAGTTGAAATTGATGAGGCCTCATCTGATGTTCCAGTTTCTCGAACAATTGTGACATCTTCAGCAAGAACTGAACTAATCTTGTTGGAAGAAGAAAAAGACAGTCAATCTAATATTCCTGGAGACACAACCAAGTGAAATTGTCTTTTCTCAAGCTTCAATGAAAATAAAATAATTGACACGCACAGAAAAAAAAAAAATGTTCATAATTTTCTAGTAACTGAACATTAAACAAAGCCCAAAGCTGAAATTTATGAAAACAGTTGAACAGAATTTACCACATTTAAATTTTCAAGTACTTGGATGTGCTATACCGTGCACTATTAAAAATACTGATTTCTTCAAATCTGTCCCAAAGGCAACAATTTCTACAAGTACAGAGGAGCCCATAGTTATAGCAAAGTCTGATACCTGAACCATGAAAGTAAATTATTGAAAGGCTCAATGAGAGCAAAAAGACTTGTTAAATAGGCTTCTCAAAACCACACCAATTGTGTTTAGATTATAGATTATTTCCAGAATGGAGTATAAAGTAGTACTATGAGGACTATGCTTACCTGTTTAGAATTTGGACCTTTCTGACCTACTTTCACTTTCTTATTAAAATATTTTTCTTTATTTCAGCTAAAGTAATATGTATATTCCACAAACATTTTCCAATGCAAAATAAAACCAAAATATTAGTGTAGAGAGACTAATGCTTTACCCCTTCCTCTCTCCTCTTTTTTTTTTATTATTCTGGTGGGTCATATTTAGCCTTAAAAGAATTTCAAAAAACCCAACAGAATAAATTCAAGACCAAATACCATAGAACTAATTCACATTTTTAAGATACCAAAATAAAACATGCTGACAAAGAACAATTATTAAGATGTGGATAAATAAATTTTAATGTATATATTTACTGGATAGTTGAATGCACAGAATGATCTGCCACACCGGTGGAATTGCTTCAGAGATTTTCTGGGAAAGGAGATGTATATAATTATTAACTTCTTTGTTTATATTAATGCTTCTCTCAAGTGCACAATGAAAACCAGAGTGCGTATGTGACAGCCTTCACATGTATCATTAAAACATTGTCTGTATTCTTCATTCACAATAAACTCACCATATGAATAACAACTGGAGTAGCGTGAGTTACTGATAGCACTCCCAGCATTTTTTGATTCTGAAAATCCCAGCTTAACTTTGCAAAAGCTCTGAGTAGACCCCACTATCTGCTCAGTGGCTGCTTAATGATAGCACAGTTTCTAAATATGGTGGTAATGGTTACAAACTAATCTGAGGTGGTTTATGTGTTTCAGTAAACAAGTTTTATGGAATTGCACATGCAGATGTGCTTCGTTATAGTAGCTTTCTCATCCTGTGTTTTCTTTCCCCATATCCTACTTAGTACAGGGAAAGCAGACACAGCAAAATATTTAAAAATTGAGTTGTAAAGGAAGTGTAGTTGGTTTTCTAACCATCTGTAGCTTAATTTCTATATCTTTGTGGTAGGCTTAACTATTCCAAAGAGAACTTCTGGCATAATACTAGAGCTTTTGGAGCGAGCTGGTGTCTAATGTGTGAAGCCAGGGTGGATAAGGACTAATATTAACCCTTTTTCATAAATTAAAAAATATTAAGAGAGTCAAAGTCTGGTTATAATTTACAGCACATTCTAACTTTTTAGCAGAGAACAAGTAAATTGGAATCAAGCTATGAAGGGGCCTAAAAAGTCTCACAAGAAACCAGGGAAATAAACTCAAGTTTATCAACTTAGATGCAATTCATTGTCTTAATCATAAACCCCTCCTTCACAGGTGGAGGAGAAACAGCACATGTGATGCCAGTAAAGAAAATAAAAGAGCACTCTCATAAGCATCATTTTTTCCTTTATAAGCTGAACCTTACCCCATACTGGTCTTAGATCACCAGAAGACATGTCTCCCAGCCTCCCTGGAAACGCTGTCGCCCTGAGCAATTTATGCAGCACTGTCAGGTTTGAGCCCAAAAGTAGAGAAGGAAGTTTTCTCCTTATTCCTGCAACGTCTATCCCCGCCCCAAACCAGTGAAAACATGGCTTTGAGTGCCATCTAGAGGAGCGTGCTCCTCTATGGAAAATAGTTTCGTTGGCTAAAGATGTAACTTCTCAAAAAGCTTTTCAAACTGATCCACCACTCACATGTGCTCATTGCACTGGGGAAAATTTGCCTGATGTTGTGCCTCAACACTTTAATACAGGTATTCCCTCTGCACCTCTAATTCCTAAAAGATTTTAGAAATCTGCCCTCGCTACTTACATGGCTCAAATCTGAGATTGGCTTGGATTTTATTAAAACATGCTTCAACACATGTAAGCAAACACTGTTATAGCTGAACACTAAGGATGAAACACATACCTTTGTGAGATAAAATAGCACAGCAATAATGATCTGCATCTCTAACGTGTTAAAATCTGGTTGTATTTTCCATGTTTGCTTTAATACCAGACAGCTTGTCTTATAACGCTGTGCATTTCATTAACTCTGGGATGAGGTAATAACACACAAAAGGAAATGTCACACACTGACTAATGGTTTTGCAGGTAGACTCAACTATGAGAGGTTCTCACGTCATCAGTGTGGACACCACGAGGAAGCAATATCTCTGACAAGGACATGAAGGGGAAATCTCCTTGCTTTGCATGGGGAACAAGATTCAAATATTTTTGTTTCTATTTAAAATGTATGTTTCAACTCACTTCAGAGTCTGCCCCTCCAGCTGCAGCCTTTCTGGCCCTGCACATCTTCCAGATTCACTGCATATTTGGAATTCCACTCTCCCTCAAAAGGGTTTTTTCAGTTGTTCCTGGATAGGCAGTTGCCTTCTTTACAGGTTGGTCAAATTCTGTTTGATAATTAGTTCCACGCCAGCTGTATTAATGAAGTAATCTTCTGACCAATTGGAAGTCCCTATGCAATGGAAAAGTAGCTAATTAGAAAACATTAATTTCCCAGTGTTCTGTTTGATCTCCGTACTTGTTAAGTCCACACTGCCCGGCTTTGCTGATTCTCTGTACTACTGCAAATCTCATTAGGACCAACAGAGCAGCAAAAATCAGGTCACCTCCTTCTCATTCCAGACCTCAGCTTTCAGAAAGTCAGTATTAACTGCAACCCTGAAGCTTCATAACAGTCTGGTTCCTTGCAGTCTGCGCTGTAAGGAGCTGCACAAATCTACTCATTATAAATATGGGAATAGAGTGCACCATTTGGGTATTAAGGAGGATAAAAGCCAGTGTTTGCTATGGGTTTCTGTGTTTAAATAAAAAAAAAAAATCTGTAATGGACTTAATTATCTTGATTTGTTAAATGAAAACAAAAGGAGGTCACTAAATCCTCAGGAGCTGTTCTGATCTCAGCATGCAATGCCCACTTTTAAACCAGGCAAAGCTGGGAATCCAGCTGTAGATAGTGTCTGGGGCTCTCTCCAAAGCTACCACAATTCAGAACATCAAACTCTGTGACAAAAAATACACATCTTATCACTTAGCAGTTCCCCTGGTGTTCGTCCTAGCCAGAAAAGTCTAACTGTCAAGTCCAGAAGGTGCTTAGGCGTGAAAACAAATAATCTGCATATCTGTCCTCAAAAGACAACTGGGTAAGAAACAAGTTCTGTTAAAGGCAATTGGAGCTGCAAGTCCTCAGCCCATTGGAGGCCCGGGCTATTTGCTGGTTTGGGTTGCTTGGAGGATGAGCTGATGGAAATGACAGAGCCCTTTCACATTCCCTTTTCTGAGGGATCCTAATAAAAGAGTGAAAAATAAACGCCATCCTGACTTCCAAGAATCGAGCAGCCATTGTCATTACTGTTTTCTCATTTCCTTTCCTAGAGTTCTGTTCGACAAACAGCGCGTGGAATTAATTCCTCCCAGCAATTTCTTTTTATTAAAGCACGATAGCGTTACACGCTGGAGCATCAGCTTTCACTGCATCCTTCCGAGCACAGCCTGCGAAATTCCTGCTGTGCTTGTCACAGGCTGCACACTCAGGCTTGTCATGTTCCATTCTTAATGGCTCACAATCATATGAAATAATCTCTTACTGAACTTGACCTACATTATTTTCTCCCCTTCGCATCTCTACTTCTTTACCCAGGCCTGATAAAGCCATATACTTTGATACGTTTATCTGATTGATGTGGCAAAATGAAGTCTTTTTTTTTTTTTTGATATTGCAGCCCATCCTACCTCAATCTCAGTCCTACAGATCTGAAGATACTGTAAGTGTTTGGAGTAACGGAATACATACCAATACAGGCGACTTTATCAGTATTTGTTGTGATTCCTTCTCCCACGAGGAATATTCGTGCGATTCAGAATTGGAACAATGAAGACTTTCTGGAGGGAGAGAAATTAAAAACATAAATAGAAATACCAGAGTGAGGAACAGACTGAATAATTGGACAATTCAGATTTATTATATTTTCGAAGAATAGAAGAGTACAGAAAGAAGAGAGCGTTCCACACACTGTTATTAAATGTACCATAAAAAGAGATTTTACTCTTATCCAAGAAAACCAACAAATAGTACTTCCAGTATACATAAAATTGGAGAAGCAATTGAGATCAGATAAGGATAATGTTTGCTTCACAATGTTCCATTAGTGGCACAGCTATTATCATTATAGGGCAGACAATTAAATGCAGTTTTAGGCAGCTGTTTAATAGATCCACATTTACCACTGATTACTACTCTTATTTTGTGCTAGAATGGGCTGATCACAGACACGAGGGGTACTGCAGGCAACAATAATGCCTAACTTTTTGTGTTAACTCTTACTAAAATCTACAATTCTGTTCCTTTTCTTTTTCTTCTTTTTTTTTTTTTTTTAAAACCCATCCCTCCTTACTTCTTTGACTGCTCTCTGTCCCACCCAGCTCGATGTGTTCTTGCCTAGTGCCTATGGCCTGCGTGTAACATTTAGTGCTCAAAAATGGGTCCATTTGTAGAAGCAGTCAGCAGAGCTCTCAATTGCAAAAAAACTGACAGTAATTAGAGCCGTTTAAGATACTCCATACAGAAAAAGAGCAGTAAGTTGTCATATAAACTGTTACGGGCACAGCACTCAGCAGAAGTGGCTGCCTGGATGACATGGCAAGTGCTGCAGCGTGGCACGTCCCTTGGTGTCACCAGTAGCTCGCAATAGCTGCTTCCCCAAAGATCATCTCTTGGGTCTTATTTTCTTAAGGACCTGAAACAGTCACTGCAACAATGGACAATCTGCTTCTCTAAAACCTGATGTTTGCAGGTGCAACTGGCAGCTAAGGCTCCAAAATGAGTGTGTGGGGCCATACCCTCAAGCTGTCGTTCCAAAAAAATCAGGTTTCTTACCGTACCACGTCCACACTGATGTGGGCACGTGGGTTGTTGAGAGCATGCAGGAGAGCACGGCTGGGTCAGATTGGGTCCAGGGGCTGAGCAGGAGCTGGATTTGCACTCTGTAGGCAAAAGGTGCAACTTTTCTAAGAGAGAAGTAAGTGGATGGAAAGAGGAGCATTTTTGAAACAGTTGAGTAGAAAGCCGCGACAATAAACTGGGAATATAAGCGGTGTTGTGCAGAGATGGGATGTCTGATGTCTAGTGAGAGGAGTGTTTGTGTCTTCACTGGAGGTACAAATAAGATTTCTTTCCACCCAGTTCTTTTCCCAATGTTTCGAAAGCCCCGATCTCTGCCAGATTTCATAGAATCATAGAATCGTTCAGGTTGGAAAAGACCCTTGGGATCATCAAGTCCAACCATCTACCCTACTCTACAAAGTCCTCCCCTACACCATATCCCTCAGTACCCCATTTAAACGTCCCTTAAACACATCCAGGGATGGGGACTCAACCCCCTCCCTGGGCAGCCTGTTCCAATGACCGACCACTCTTTCCATGAAAAATTCCTTCCTAATGTTCAATCTAAACCTCCCCTGTTGGAGCTTGAAGCCATTCCCTCTCGTTCTGTCGTTAATTACCTGTGAGAAGAGACCAGCACCAACCTCTCTACAGTGTCCTTTCAAGTAGCTGTAGAGAGTGATGAGGTCTCCCCTCAGCCTCCTCTTCCTCATACTAAACAGTCCCAGCTCCTTCAGCCGTTCCTCATATGATTTGTCTTCCAGGCCCTTCACTAGTTTTGTTGCCCTTTTTGGTTGCAATTGATCAAAAAGTTTAAATCTTTATACACAGATACACACAGCATGGTGTCATCATGCTCATTTCCTTCAGAAACTGAAAATAAGAATAGCAACTTCAATGTAGAGCCAGATCATAGAGCATGAAGGAAAAAGGACATTGCAGAGCCCAGAGGAAAACGTAAGAGCCATTTCTCAGACCACAGCCATTTCACGATCCTGGAGACTTTTTCTAGTGTCCATTGGTGGTCCTGTGTCATCAGCCAGCTTGGACAGGCTGTACCCTTCCCCATCCCTCCTTGCTCTATTTAGTATGCTGTGTGCCCCCAAGGTAAAAGCACAGCCCTGCTCTCACAAACTGTCTGTTTTCCTGACATTTATGTTGACAGTAGCTTAAGGGAAAAATTTTTCCCTAATCCTTCACCCTAAGAGCTGGACAATGTACATCCAGGACTAACTGGGGACTGCAAACACCCATGCAGCATTTTCATTCCGTAGATCCTAATAAGATCCTAATCCTGCTGCACGGAGAAAGACAAGCATCTTTAGTACAGATTGGAGGACTGATACAGGGAGAGGTCCTGGCAGTCATTCACTGTCCCAGGAGCAATGACGAATTAATTTGCCTAACTTATTCCTTTTGGTCTTATGTACAAAGGCCTGAATTCTCAAATTCTCCCTCGCACATCGTCCTATCACGATCAACAGACCGACCATGTGCTTTCAGGCTCAGGGTGACTGGTAGATCCCCAGAAAGGTGGAAAAACATGCTATTTAGTAACGCTATTTTTGAACGCTTTCCATTTTAAAAATATATTGGTTTCTAGTTGATTAACACCCCAGCATTAAGACAGCAGCTTTGTTCCCTCTGCCTCAGCTGCTGGAGGAACCTAACCTGAACTAATCAGCCTCAATTCATTAGGCTACAGCTGGTTGCTGGGGAGATAGCCCCAGGCCCTGCACCACTTTCCCTCGGCCCTTTCAAACTCTTGTTTGCATCTGATCAGGCCCTAGATGTCACAAACGGTGGATTAAGGCTTCAGATGGAGAATGAGGAATACTAACACGCTCATTCCTAAGGGGAAAAAGAGACTTTCTGTGAACCTATTCTTAGCTAAAAGCAGGGGATGAGAAACCCAGAGATTCAACTGAACAATATAGAAATCGAAAATCCTCTAAGCTGTTTGATTCATAAAAAATATCCTCTCAAAGCTAGATTTTGAGATTTTGTTTCGAGGACAGTGGAATTGTCTGTGTCTATCTATTATCCTGCACCCCTCCTGCAAACACACACATCCCCAGCTGAACAACAAAGGATGTACAGAGTCAGGCCAGAGGACATGATGCCTGGTGTAATTGTGGCTAAATGACAGTCTTACAGCTCACCCTGTTCTTTACAAGCCACGTTGTACATTATTATTTTGCTTGAAATTCTTCCTCAGATTATTCAGATGATTGGAAAACTCAGAAATGTTATAAGCAGATAATACTCAGAACACTTGGTTGCATGTAAACATCCCAATTCAAGCATATCTAAGAGGATTTGGAGTCTTAGTTGGTGCCCCGTGACTGAGCAACTTTCTGTGTTACTCAGATTTGAGTCGATGTGCAAAGTCTGTGTAATTTTGCTGTGACCTTGGGCAGCCCACTGGGACCGTGGTGGTCACCCACCTCCCACAGCTTGATCCTTCCAGTTCACCACGACCACCTTCTCCTCGAGAGCTGCTGCTGCATCCACCCAGCACGCTTCAGGAACTTAGATGACCTTAGATGGAATTATAAAAAATAGAGCAAAATAAAAGCCAAGGAGTCTCTTTTAAAGACTATTTCAGCTACCATTGTGAGGGTCAGCAAGGAGAGTTAAGAATCAGACTCCAAGCTATGGGTCAAGTAGGTCAAACAGGCAGCAGAGCCAGAAGTGAAGAGTCTTCAGAAGTAAAGAACAGAAAGAGATAAGCAGGAGCAGAAGCAGGGAGCAAAGTAACATTTTCTCTGAAAAGTCTGATGTCAGATGTGTTTCTGCTGATCCCATTCCTCCCTCTACTGATAAAGCTTCTCTGCTGTATTTTGAAGGGAGCTCTACCTGATTGTCCTTTGAAACTAGAACAGAATCCAAGTAAGAGAAGGTTTAAGGGATCACCAAGTCACTGATACACTGGATGATGGATGACTACCTGTTGCAGGTAAGTCAGTCACAATCATTGAATAGCAGTTCTACTTTCAGCTACTGGCAGACTGTATTCTTAGATACTTCACTGAAAGTGAGGATCACAAGCTACATAGGGGCTGGAAGGGACCTTAAAGATCATGGAGTTCCAATCCCCTGCTCTGGGCAGGGACACCTCCCACCAGACCAGGTTGCTCAAAGCCCCATCCATCCCTGACCTCCAGGGATGGGGCAACCACAACTTCTCTGGGCAACCTGTTCCAGTGCCTCAACCACCCTCACAGGAAAGAATTTCTTTCTAGTATCTAATCTAAATCTCCTCTCTTTTAATTTAAAACCATTACCCCTTGTCCTGTTGCTCCACTCCCTGATGTCCCTCCTCGTCTCTCCTGTAGGCCCCCTTAAAGTACTGGAAGGCCATTGATTTTCTACCAAAAAACAAAACAAGCAAATCCAAAACACAAGATCAGCTGTGGAATCAAGCCCAGCACTACCATAAAGAGGAAATTCATGAAGTCAGAGGAGAAAAAACAGCTCTGAAAACATCAGAAGCAGAAGGATATTTTATGGTTTCTGAACATGTTCTGTTTTTGCCTTTTAACTTAAATCTCACTTAAGTGAAACTACACAAATCTCATTTACCCATGTGGAGAGGAAATAGTATTTCCTTGTCGTTCTAGTGCGGTGAGTTAGCCTCATTTCCCTTTTTCTGTAGTTCCTTTTTTTTTTTTTCCTGAATGTAGATGAAAGAAAATAGCCTGGCCACTTGGTATGTCCAGATCTGGAGTCCAGCCACTCACATCCTGTAACATACAGCACCAGGCTCTGTAGGTTGCCCTACATTAAGGAGAAAAAGACAGCCACCAGTGCAGCTCCATTTCCCCCCAGCAATTATTGCTCCCTACAGAGCTGGGACCATCCACCCCACTGTGATGGGCAATGTGCTCTTTGGAGTACAGCTTTAGAACCTCCAGGCAGGAAGAACTGAGTCTGGGAGTGCTCAGGAGGCTGTAGATATAAATGTGAGCTCCTCAAAGTGTACATATGAAAATTGCACATAAACCAGTTGCCTCTGAAAGTATATATTTCAATTTCTATGTGGATAAAGTTCCTTATGTTTCATTTTCTCGGCATTTCTCAAGATCTACGGTGCTGCCGTCAACTTCAGGTGGTGATTAGAATGAGAAAAGTGTTTTTAAACTGACTGTCTACTAAAATGTTTGCCTTCTGGCTTGTTCTCCCTCTTACTGATGGCAAAAGAATCCCACTGATTTTTAACAGCTCTGCATTTCACCCTCTGAACGTGTTGGCAGGACCCAATCATCTCACAGGCTCTAGAAGGCATTTCTAAGGTAAGAGATCTATTTTTATGAAGTCACATCCTGGCTGTCACCATGCTGTACACCGTGATGTCCAGGTGTTCTAGGCATGCTGAATAAATAAATAAACACTGTGCTAATGGTGGAAATGAGGTTATTTGTGTGGGTAAGGTTTACTGTCCTGAGCCAGGGCTGCAGGATCAGGCTCCATGTTACTCCTTCTCAGCAAGGTTTGATCAGCCTCCCAGATAAATCAATGAGGGGTTTGTCACCTACTGCCTTACAAATAGGATTGAAACCTCCATGGATTTCTAAAACAGGCAATAAAATCATTCTTCTTAATCCGTTACTTCTTTTCAGAAATGTCAGTGTAATCTCAGCTCTTGTAATCAAATGTAGTGTGTCCCAATAATTACCTTTTTGACGTCTTTTTGATTGTTCATGCTTAATTTCATGTTGGAGAACTCATTAAACATCAGGGATGTTTTTAATGCTCTTTTTCCCAATCTGAAAAACAGAAATGTACGCAAGGGGAAAAATAAAGCTTCGTGGCAACATCTGTATAAAGCCAGTTACAGACTGAAAATGCAGGTCACTGCCATTGCTTTATATAATGCTCTGAGATTTCAGTGGGGATCTGTGCAGCAGCATCACCGTACCCTGTGTCTTTAGGGACACCAACGGACTCCAAAGGGAGAGAGACAGGTCCCTGCAGTTTTTTCCCTGGTGCTATCTACACACAAAAATCACTGTGGTAATTAACATCAGTGTCATCCTGCGTGTGGCTCTGTTGGGCTCCTGCTCTCTCCCCGTGCATATGAGTTGTCTTCAACACTGGTGACTCCTCCAGAAGGGACTCTGCTAAGGGAACACGGACCAGCCTGAAATCTAAACTCCCTTTCTCCCCTGTTGCAACCGTGACCCTGGGAAATAAGTGAATTTGTTTTTCTCCTCACACAGTTTCCCTCCTAGACTTTTGTTACCACCAGCAGAGGCAACCACCAAGGCAAATACCAAATTATGCCCGTACTCAAAGCAGATGGTAGGGCAGGTGGTAGTTGGCCACTTGTTTATTTTGCCTTCTCAAAAGGCCAAACCAAAAACTCCACACGTGTCCAATGGGTCATGAATCATCCCTACACTGGCAGAGGTGGATTTACAACACAGGAGTCAGCTGTCATTTTTCATGCTCAGAAGCAAGAAGCACATCCTGAGGGATGGTAGATTTCAAAAAGTGCTACCAGATACCACCACCTGTCCGGTCCCCAGACTACCGCTTCCTACAAGTTATTCTTACAGTTACCAAAAGGCTTCAAAAAGCATCATTTCCCTTAAAATATGAGAGTGAACAGATCTCATCTGTGCCATAATAGAGCCACTGACCATTTGGCACAAAGTCCTTCTTGGTATCTCTGACCGGTGATGGGTCAGATTCCCAGCTGCGATACAGAAGTCATGAGAACTGCAGTAAAAATACGCACTTTAATTTTCAAGAAAGAAAACATCACAGACCAAACCAGAATTCCTAAGAATAATATTGTAGTTGGTCAGTAATTAACTATGGCTCCCTCTGAGCTTTCCGGGCTTTACTAGCTGCCAATTCCAATGACTAAAGTTCATCCAAGAGCAATAAATAGAAGCGCTCTTTAGTGTTGCTTCACAGACTCAAACACAAGCTAATACCACAATCTGCTGAGTGCACGCTGGAGACGGTTGTTTATAACATTAAGGCTGCTTTCTCCCTGCCCCAAAAATAACTTTTGACAATTCTTTTCTCCATCACCATGAAAATGTTTCAGATTTTGGATTTCTAACACAAGGATGAGACTTTTCAGCAAACAAACTAAAACATGAGACTTTATCGTACCTGGTATTAAGCTGCTGAAGATGGAAAAGCTGAGAGAAGCCAGAGGAGAAGCCAGTTACAGCAGAAAGAGGCCTTTCTCTGGGAAGCTGAAAGTGTGGTGAATCCTCTGCTCCTCCTGGGATGAAAGCACAAGCAGTAACTTTGTGAAGGCCAAAAGTGAGAGAAAAGGAGATGGTGGAGCAGAGAGGAGGCCTGTCTGACCAGCCAGCTCTCTCCTGAATTTACTGCTGTACACAGACCACTCTGTACCACTGGGGCCACCCCAAACCTCTACTAAAACAGGGCTTAAAACAATGCCAAGGCTACCCCTCCATCCCTTCAGACTCAGGTTACCAGAACGATGGAGGCAGGATTCCTGCTTGATGGAAGCTTCAGGAAGCAGTCCAGGAAAAGAGGCAGCCCCAGTGAGCCACCACGCTAAAGGTCCACATCACCTCTGGGAGGTGTCCCTGTCCCTCTACTGGCTTCATTGAGCCCAGCAACCAGCTGCCTCGCTCCATTTGTGAAATCCTGGCACAAACTACACCAACATAAATCACAAAAGCTCCCGGGGAGTTGGGGATGGTACCAAACAAAGTTCAGAAGTTCTGGGATTTATCATTTATCGCTCCAGTACCACCAGTTTAGTTCAAACTGGGAGAGGCTGGGTGATATGAGGGGGAGGAGGAGTTTCCAGCAAAAGGACCCCTATTTCTCCTCGTCCTTGGCAGCTCTCTAACCCCTCACAGCACTGGTTAATCTCATCATCCTCCCCCTCTCCAGCCTGCCAAAGCCTGCCTTCCTTCTGCTGATCTGATCTCGTACCAGCCCAACGTCCCTTACGCTTTTCTCATCTCAGCCTTGTAGCTTTGTGGGTTTAAGGATGGAGGTGGGTTTGTGGAGAGAATAGGACTCATTTGACCAACTCCTGCAATTGGAGGAAAGATAAAAAACTGGCAAGTTTCGGGGCAAACAAGTGATGTTTTTTCATTCCTCCTCTTTCCCATCCCTCAGACAAGGCTCCCTCCCCACCAGTTGCTCCAGTTGAGCTCCCACCATCCCACACACGGAGTAACTGCATCCCTGGCCGTGCAGTTGGGTGTCACTGCTGTGAACACACTCCACTCTAAAAACCATCCCTGGGCTCCAGTTTGTCAGAAGGGTGCGTTAAGATACAGTGAAAGATCTTTTCATGCCTATGTGGGAGGTTCGCTAAGAAGAAACTGCCAGTTTAACACATTCTCGTCTCCGAGAGCTAATAATAGACAAAAACGTTGCTACCACCACAGAGATTACTACAAAACTACACTTTCCCTTTCACGAGGACCAGGCGGCTGGGCTCCGAACGCCAACCGTCGACAGAAGGATGGGAGGCAGGAACAGCCAGGGTCCTTACACTCCAAAAGAAAAATGCTCTATTTATACTTGGTGCCAAAAGATTGTACGCTCAAGTGAGCTGGGGTGGGGGCTGGGGAGGGAGGGAAGTCATTTCAGGTCAAGATTTGGGAAGCGGTTCAGCTGACGTGCCTAGAGAAAATTTCAAAGTCTAAATAAAATTGTGATTCCTTCCGAAATATTTTTTAAGATGTATTTAATTTCCACATCTAAAAAAAATTCAATAAATTTTACTAAAATATCTAACCATGGACTTGAAATATTTAACACGGAATATTTAACACTTACTTGGAATAATTTTGTTCAACCCTAAAATTAAATGCTTTGTTTGGAAAAATATTTCCATTTAAAAAAAAACAATAAAATCTGTGATTTGCATAACTCAAGTGATTGCAGAGAGTCCTTTGCTGTCTCAGTCCTGCCACTCCTCTTGTGTGGCACTCGCCCCCGGGTCACACCTCGGGAAGATGACCCACGAGTATCAGGAAAAGCTGTGGTACCTTCTGTCCACCTTGAACACCTCTGGCTCTGTCTTACAGAACTTACACTCCTCCTCTTGGATTTGAAAAGTACCTGGCCATCCAGGAGACCACTGGCCCAATGCCATCGCTGTCCTCGCGTCCTCCTGGAGATAAAGAACATTCTTCTTGCTACACAGAGATGGTGAAGATGTGTTACGTGTTATAACCCATCCTCTTCAAACCTGCCCAGAACGCCAACCGTCGACAGAAGGATGGGAGGCAGGAACAGCCAGGGTCCTTACACTCCAAAAGAAAAATGCTCTATTTATACTTGGTGCCAAAAGATTGTACGCTCAAGTGAGCTGGGGTGGGGGCTGGGGAGGGAGGGAAGTCATTTCAGGTCAAGATTTGGGAAGCGGTTCAGCTGACGTGCCTAGAGAAAATTTCAAAGTCTAAATAAAATTGTGATTCCTTCCGAAATATTTTTTAAGATGTATTTAATTTCCACATCTAAAAAAAATTCAATAAATTTTACTAAAATATCTAACCATGGACTTGAAATATTTAACACGGAACATTTAACACTTACTTGGAATAATTTTGTTCAACCCTAAAATTAAATGCTTTGTTTGGAAAAATATTTCCATTTAAAAAAAAACAATAAAATCTGTGATTTGCATAACTCAAGTGATTGCAGAGAGTCCTTTGCTGTCTCAGTCCTGCCACTCCTCTTGTGTGGCACTCGCCCCCGGGTCACACCTCGGGAAGATGACCCACGAGTATCAGGAAAAGCTGTGGTACCTTCTGTCCACCTTGAACACCTCTGGCTCTGTCTTACAGAACTTACACTCCTCCTCTTGGATTTGAAAAGTACCTGGCCATCCAGGAGACCACTGGCCCAATGCCATCGCTGTCCTCGCGTCCTCCTGGAGATAAAGAACATTCTTCTTGCTACACAGAGATGGTGAAGGTGTGTTACGGGCTGGGTTATAACCCACCCTCTTTGAGCCTGCCCTGGAGGGAGACCCATTCCCTGGGAGAAAAATACCACCCAAAAGCATGACCTGCTGCCTATGGTTACTGCTAGAGCCAGAGGTCCTCTTGCTGAATCCCAATTTCACCCCTACCTCTGGATGGTTCCTCATCCATGAAGTGTCCCCAGGTGCCAACTGGATGCCACGTTTTGGGTTTGTATTTTTTTTTCTTCCTACAGTTCCTGTGAGCGGGATGTTGACAGAGGCAGAAGCGTTACTGTTGAACAAGCATTTTTCTGGCACCAATTCTTTTGGCAAGTATAGTATTTTCAGTGATTTCTGTTCAGAGGAGGGGAAAAAAGAAAAGCTTAAGGAGGGTAGAGTCCTAGCAAGTACTACTTTTCTTACGTTCGTTTTTCTTGGCTACCCTTGCTCAGCCCACCTCACTGCTGTCTCAGTCCTGCCACTCCTCTTGTGTGGCACTCGCCCCCGGGTCACACCTCAGGAAGATGACCCACGAGTATCAGGAAAAGCTGTGGTACCTTCTGTCCACCTTGAACACCTCTGGCTCTGTCTTACAGAACTTACACTCCTCCTCTTGGATTTGAAAAGTACCTGGCCATCCAGGAGACCACTGGCCCAATGCCATCGCTGTCCTCGCGTCCTCCTGGAGATAAAGAACATTCTTCTTGCTACACAGAGATGGTGAAGGTGTGTTACGGGCTGGGTTATAACCCACCCTCTTTGAGCCTGCCCTGGAGGGAGACCCATTCCCTGGGAGAAAAATACCACCCAAAAGCATGACCTGCTGCCTATGGTTACTGCTAGAGCCAGAGGTCCTCTTGCTGAATCCCAATTTCACCCCTACCTCTGGATGGTTCCTCATCCATGAAGTGTCCCCAGGTGCCAACTGGATGCCACGTTTTGGGTTTGTATTTTTTTTTCTTCCTACAGTTCCTGTGAGCTTTCACCCCTACCTCTGGATGGTTCCTCATCACGAAGTGTCCCCAGGTGCCAGGTGGATGCCACATTTTGGGTTTGTATTTTTTTTTCTTCTTACTGTTCCTGTGAGTGGGATGTTGACAGAGGCAGAAGCGTTACTGTTCAACAAGCGTCTTTCTAGCACCAATTCTTTTGGCAAGTACAGTATTTTCAGTGATTTCTGTTCAGAGGAGGGAAAAAATAAAAGCTTAAGGAGGGTAGAGTCCTAGCAAGTACTACTTTTCTTACGTTCGTTTTTCTTGGCTACCCTTGCTCAGCCCACCTCATTCAGAGACCCAAGAAGTCAATATATTAAAATAAAACACTTTTTCTAGGTGCTCCAGGTACCTGCAAGGCTGCAGCCACATGGTTGTACCTCTTCCAAGGACAGGAAGACACGGCGCAGCCAAACCACCCCCTGCTGCCCTCTGCCAACCCCGTCCCACCAGAAAAACCTGAGACCAGCAGGGCTTTGCTCCTGAACAGTCCACAAATGCCCTTGTTGAAAAAGGCATCGTCCTCCCACACCGTTGCGTGGGCAGAACCCAAGAGATGAGGGTCTGTTGGTAGATCTTCACACAACATCAAAAAAAACATGAGAACCTGTTCTCTCCCATGACTTGAAGCTTTGTTCTAAGGAAGGATCCTGCAAACCCTGCTCAAGGCAACACTTTCTGGTGTTCCCTTTTACGCACACATGGAAAACCAGGCTCTGTTTCCCAAAGCTGATGAGGATGTCGAAGAGCCAGGCAGCTGAGCCCTCTGCAGGAAGATGCACAGAGGAGACCATCCCTTTTGCCGTCTATTGTTAAATTCTGCCAGGCAGCAGCTTTCATGATGCCGTGAACAGTTTTGGCCACAGTTCCACCACCTCTTACGCTTATCCAGTCGGACTGTTAAAAATTAATGAAGTGGCTGCACAGTTGATTTCAGAAGTGCACTTTGCAGAGCATCCCAACTCAACCACCACCCCGTGCTGCTGGGGAAGCCTGTGGAGAGGCAATATAGTTAGCACGCACTTCAGAGAACACAAAAAGCCTTCTCTGCAGACACAGCATACACAAACTAAGCTCAGGAAAGCACTTTAAGAGAGACAGAAGACTTATATTTTTATTATTTTTTTAAAAACAAAATCCCTCCCTATAACTTTAAGTATTTTTTTTATTTTTTTATTTTTTTAAACAAAATCCCTCCCTATAATTTTAAGCTTAACAGGTCTGACGTTCAAGTATCCAACACCCAGGTGACTTGGGGATGGGAAGTCTCCCATCGACCCTGGTTAGATGCTCATAATTTTTTCCTTTAGCACTTTAAGAGAGACAGAAGACTTATATTTTTATTATTTTTTTAAAAACAAAATCCCTCCCTATAACTTTAAGTTAACAGGTCTGACGTTCAAGTATCCAACACCCAGGTCACTTGGGGATGGGAAGTCTCCCATCAACCCTGGTTAGATGCTAATAATTTTTTTTCTTATTCCCTTTGGCAGCATTTTAATTATTGCTGGCAAACACCGCAATGTTTTTATCAGCTACACGTTCTACTTTCCACAGAAGCTGCGCTGATGCAGAGGACCTGAAGCCAGACCCATGTGGCCAAAGGCTGTGCAGAGGGAAAGGAGGAATTGGTGTTATTTCAGAAGCTCCAGGAAGGATGCAAAGGTCAGACAGAACTGGAGGAGGAAAGGAGGACGGTGACAGAATGAAGGGAAAAAATCATAAGAATTTCACGGACACATAAACTCCAATATATGCATATATAACCAGGAAGGATGCAAAGGTCAGACAGAACTGCAGGAGGAAAGGAGGACGGTGACGGAATGAAGGGAAAAAAATCATAAGAATTTCACAGACATATAAACTCCAATATATGCACATATAAAAAAATACATCCAAGGTGAGAGCAAAACAGTGAGTCCAATGTTTTTCTGTAATCACACCAGTGGAGGCCACAAAGATGCTCAGGGGGCTGGAGCCCCTCTGAGAGAGTTGGGGTTGTTGAGCTTGGAGAAGAGAAGGCTCCAGAGAGACCTTAAAACCCCCAAAGGGGGCTACAGGAGAGATGGGGAGGGACTCTTGATAGGACGAAGGGGAAAGGTTTTAAACTGAAAGAGGGGAGGTTTAGATTAGATATTAGGAAGAAATTCTTTCCTGTGAGGGTGGTGAGACCTGTAAGGTCTTCCTGTGAGGAAGCTGTGGCTGCCCCATCCCTGGAGGGGTTCCAAGGCCAGGGGCTTTGAGCAACCTGGTCTGGTGGGAGGTGTCCCTGCCCAGGGCAGGAGG